TATATATATATATATATATATATATGTCATAAAATAAAGACAGTTGCATTGTAAATGATTGATTCCTTGTGTCTACGTAATAATAGTGCTCAGAGAATATTGTTATCCCACTCTTTATTATAATTCACACACATTTCTGGTGTGAACGTTAAAAATATATACAGTCAGTGGCACGAGAGCCTTGTCAGCCATTTCTCCTGGAAAAGGAAAAATTTCTGGATAAATAAATATATAAATATAATAACCCTGAAGTATATTATATGCGCTTCCACGCGTTTATCTAAATTCTAATATGTCGTCCAGTCCTCTCCGTTGTCGATTAAGGCTCGGCAACGTCGAACCAAAGGATGAAAATTAACTGATCATTCATATTTAATTAAACATAGATACGTGTATCCTTTTTCTTAAATCTTTATTTTTATCATTTACCAAAAATTCGAGAGGAAATATTGCAATTTCCGAAAAATTCTGTCACAATTGTCTTTTTTTATCGTAATATAGACTATTCCATACATCTAATGCATTGCTACTCTCAAAGATACAAGGGAAATATGTATTTAAAAAATTGTATGTAAACTTATGCTTAACATTTTTCTACCGGGAGAGTTCAACTTGCCATTGTTACAATTGATCACAGTTCCTGCTGATTAGACAGTTGCGATATTATCGTAATGTAATGTGGTCAATTGCAGCTTGGTCGAATAAATTTGTATTTGGTTGTATCAAAAGTAATATTACGTATAATTTTTTTATATATTATAGCCTTCATCTTTATCTATATTTTCTACTCTTTCTGTTATTATATATAAGATGTGTTAGAAGGAAATCGTTCCTCTTTTGTGTTTAAGATATATTCATTTTGCTGTTTCACGACAGAAAGTACGTAAATGCAAATTTCGTGGAAGAGTCGCCTTCTGATGAAGAGATACAGAATCGAAAAGACGCTTGAAAGATTAGAATACCGTTAGAATTTTTCTCCGACCTCTCCTTATCCTGTTGCCTCCCCGCATTGTCTAAAACAAGTTTACAACTCTCTTCACTTTTTTTTTTCAGTAGCGTGACGCAGTTTACGGACGACCCCTTCTCACAAATCAACACCATGTTACATACACAAACTTGAAGGACTCTGTAGTATAATTATTGTTAATATTTATTTCTTAATCTTTATTGAGAAAATGATCAATTAAAAATCTCGAAGATCTTGATCTCAAAGACACAGGGCGCGCAGTGAGAAAAATAATATTAGCATTGTGTGATATAAATTTCCAATGTTTATTAGTATGAAATGGTATAATGCAGTAAAACACCGCAACTAGTTTTGCGTGTTCCTACAATGACCATTTAATTTACTCGCAGGTTTATTTACAAAATAAGAATTACGAACCCAGTTTAATAAGAGAAAATAAACTGTTTAACTGTAAAACCTTCGGTCAACTGTAAAATTAACTGTCTGATTATTATAATGGCCGAGCAAATATTTTACTTCAGCTTCTTTCGGCTAGAGTAAAATCCATACATTCATCATCGTTAATACATGCAGAATACCAATGACGAACAATAAACATACAGGATATCCAAATTCATTTATCCCCAAATGCTAATAAAGATGCTTTATTACACTGAATGCTGTTTTCTCCTGAACAGCATATGACTCTTATTATACTAATATATCATAAATATTTCCTTTTTAGTAATTTGATTCTGTCAGAATCCCTAGGGGGTATGTTTACAAATATTTCTCGCTATATCTAGCTTCTTCTTCTCCCTTTCTATCACTTCTGTATTAATGAAAATTGATGAATTGAGTTTGTATTTGTAATAAGCATATCATACCGTACTCATTATGATGATTCTTTCATTCAGAAAATCGAAAAATACACGCGAGCCGAGTAAGAGCCTAAAATACAGGTGACTTGCGGCAAGCCACATTGAAGATTTAAATACAAGAAGATTAAAAGACACTATCGTATGATCTTTGTCTTTGGATATTGCGGATGATCCAGATAGTATTGAAACACGTCTATCTCGTTACTCGTGGTTAATAAATTGTAGCGTTTTTCATACCTTCATACGTAGATTTTCGCAAAAGCATCAGTGTTTTGTACTCTTACTTGGGCTTATTGGATATTTTTTAACAGTATAATCTAAGATGCTTATACCAATTGATTACAAACCAATCTTTGCCCATTCAAAAATGACATTTCATGCCATTTCAACGTTAAACCGTGATATTTTTTTACATTCGTGAAAGCAGGAGAACATATACACGAAACATCGAAATTGCATATAGGCTCTAGCAGTAGTAAAATGATGATGACGGTCAGTGTTAAACGAAAGACGCGAGTTTTGTTTTTCTCCCTCTTTTTTTCTTTTTTGTTTTTTGTTTTTTTTTTTTTAAATAAAAGTAGAGTAAGTATGGGAGGTTTATCTTTGACTATTTATAGAAACTGGTTTACACAAGGTGTCCGAAAACTGCTGGGCAATATTTCAACAGCATATTTTGGAGCACAATTAGAATCGAAGATTTTTATTAGAAAATGTCGAGGCTACGAGTTTCTTAAGTTGTAAGCGCGGTTAATGTGTGCCGATAATATCGCGCGTTCTGGCTTTTAAATATGTATCTATGTGCGAGATTTATGCGATAACATTATCAGTAAACAAATTACAACACAACTACCATAACCTCGACATTGTTGTACTGGGAATTTTCCTTACTGATTAAACTCCAGAAACACCGTTAAGATTATTGTACGACAGTATCCGGGCGTCGTGTATATTTTTTGAAAAATACACGATTAACACTTAATACAAAAATTAGTCTACAACTAGCGAGATATTTCGAATGTGTGTACCGCGTTGATCAACAGATTCCACTGATAAAATTACTTAGGGTCTACACGTCTTCTCTTAATAGTACATAAATAATCTTTTATCGAAAGATTAAGCATACTTTTGCTCTACACTTCGGGACCAATAAATCGCCCGGTTTCATTCTTCTCCGTGGCTTAAGCGTTGAAAATATTCAAGTATTTAATTTTTACAGCATAGAAGCTGACATTAAAGCTTGTACAAAAAATAAAATTAAATGTTTTAATATAAACATCTTAATATTCTTCTCTCTTTTGTGTCTTAAGTAAGGGGGAGTAGGGGGGAGGTCGAAAATGTCTCTGCATTGTGTCTTACGATGTTTCAAATGTGACGTGACTTTGATAAGTGTGAAAAAGTCGTGTGCCTGACTGGCTATGACAAAAGCGGACTGACTGAGCATCGATAGTTCATCACGATTTCCAAAGATGTCTAAGATATATAGAGGTTAGAAGCCTTCTTGATACTGCTTCGAGTCTAGTTTCGCCTGTATCACTTCCAGCTGTCTTTTCGCCTCGCACTGTGGGAAATTTTGTAGATCGTAATACTGCGGCGCTATCATGAGCAACCAATCGGCTGTAAGAAGACAAAACGTTAACGTAAAATAACCGTGTCGACTAAAACGAGTTCGTGTTGAACAAGCGAAAAATAACGAGCAGCAAGAGCTGATCTATTTGTCGCGATAAATAAGCCGAAGAACTCACGTTTAATATCGGTGACTGTTCTGATGTAATTCTTCGTGGTGAGCACGAACTCGTTATAAATAACCCATTCTGGTTTGTGATCCAGACAACTGCTCGGGTGAAGTTGCACCACCTGATTATCCTTAATAGTGAGATAATGTCCTGTTCTTTCTAAATGTGCCACCTGTTTGAACAATTAATGTGAAGGATATATACATATCGACAAATCAAGATGGTAAAGATAACCTTTTTTTTTACAACGGTATGCGAGACATGTCACTACGAATTATTATCAATTACCTGCATAAAAAAGCCATTAACGAGAGCTTTTCTGATGTTGATGTAGTAATCCTTGGAATTGAAGTCAGTCGAGGTGCGTTTCAATACAAATCTGTCCATTATTCGGCTCAACTGCTGCCTCACGTTGTCCCCGCTTTTCAACGACCGATAATTCACGTAATTATCGTAACACCATTGAACGTCGTCCAAATCTGCAAACGTTTTTTTTTCACAGATACGCGCTCATAAGACGGATGCGTTAACGATAACGGCGTTACGAGACGAGTACTCACGTTGTTTGAAGGAATGGTACACATTGAGTAACGTGAGATGATCACCATCGATATGGGCGAATTTCATTTTTGCATCATCCGCGGCCTTCTTCGATTCGTTCGGCCTCACAAAGCACTGTGGGACTAATACCATGTCAATCGTCAATATACCACCATGTTGTCTTACTCACAACTTTAGTTCTACCGTTTTCTTTTTTTTCTTTTACTCTTAATTTCGGCGTGAAGTTCTGCGTGCGATCACCGATATAATCGGTGTGCGAAATCGGTAAAATAAAACGTGACATATTGAATCTAGACTGAGTCAGAACTAGACTGAATGAGAATAAAGCAGACTGAACGGTAAGCAGGCGTACGGCAAACCCCGGTACATTACCTGAGAGCATTGCGGTGATGCTGAGTATCTCGTTACTGCAGTTATGATTGCACGACGCTATGAGCATTTTCGCCAGCTGGGGATCCAATGGGAACTCCGCCATAACCGCCCCGAGATCCGTCAGGTTCCCGTCGTCATCGAGAGCGGCCAGGTAATTCAAAAGCTCCAGAGCTCTCATGAGCGTCTCGGGTGCAGGCGGGTCCATAAAGTCGAAATGCACCTGTCGACGCGAAATTCGTTCAAATTCATTCAAATTCATTCATATTGCAAGATTCCGCGTCAACAGCGCGATCGAACGCAAGCGAATCAGGCGCGCGATATTCCGACTCACACACTCACCAGATCGTCAATACCGAGTTTCTTCAGTTGTAGAACGACACTCCCGAGGTTGGATCGTAAAATCTCCGGATACGTGTTATCCTGCATCTCATTCTTGTACGCCTTTTCCGTGTATAATCTGAAACATTTGCCCGGTTTCGTTCTCCCGGCCCGACCGGCTCTTTGTTGCGCCGACGCCTTACTGATGGGCGACACCAGGAGTGACTCTACGCGAATTCTCGGGTTGTACACCTGTTGATAAAAAGAAAAAAAAGCACCGTTCGATACCAATTTCTTCAACTCGAGGAAAATGCTGGAGTCCGATTAAAACGTTATGTTTACTTTTTGCTTGGCGAAGCCCGGGTCTATCACAAAGACGACACCGTCGATGGTTAGCGATGTCTCGGCGATGTTGGTCGAGACGACGACTTTACGGCCGATGGCGCCGTTCGACTTGTTGAGCGGAGCGGGCTCGAATATTCTCTGCTGGAGATTCGGCGGTAACGTCGAGTACAACGGTATGCACTTCAGTTCGCCGACCTCGGGCCCCAGGTTGTCCATCTCTCTCTTGATCCTCTTACACGCCTCTTCGATCTCCTCCTGACCGGTGAGAAACAGCAAAAGATCCCCGACTATCTCCTCGCACATCTGAATCTGTATGACCGTTCTGATCGCGGCCTCCAGGTAATCCCTCTCCGGCTCTGGTGTGTAAAATATCTCGACCGGATGAGTCCGGCCGGGCACGTTCATAAGGGGTGCGTTGTCGAAGTACTGTTGGAACTTCCCGGCGTCCAAGGTGGCGCTCATAATGACGAGTTTCAGGTCTGGCCTCTGCTTGATCACTTCCTTCAGAACACCCATGAGCAAGTCAGTGGCAAGTGTCCTCTCATGCGCCTCGTCCAGCAGTATCACCTGATACGCGTCCAGCATTGGGTCGGACATGCCTTCGCGCAGCAACATACCATCGGTCATGTACTTCAACACGGTCCTCGCGGTGCTGCAATCCTCGAAACGAATGCTGTATCCCACCTCTTGACCTGTTAACACGCACAGACTTCAGTAATTCGTCGCATTACACAGGATGTCCCAAGAAAATACACACACACATATTCCAACAGTTTCGCGTCATCTGCAGTGTCTAGACTGGAAGCGCCGATCATCTTGAAAGTTTGGCGTCGACAAGAAAACAAATTACTCATTCCTGTAGATTTCTTTTCTAAATTTCGAAGCTGAACCGCGTGTGTGTCAACGAACGCTGACTTCACAGTCATTCAGAATCTGTATACATTTTTCTGGGACACCCTGTATATGCATATATAGTGGTGGGTCGCAGCATGACTCAATGTCAGTGCAATTACCTAAGGCAACGTCCATCTCCTCTGACACTCTCTGCGCCACGCTCATCGCGGCCACTCTCCTCGGCTGCGTACACGCGACCCCCTTGTTCCCGATACCTCGCGAATACTCCACGCACCACTGCGGTATCTGCGTGGTCTTGCCGGAACCGGTCTCACCGACGAGAACGATGCATTGATGCTGGTTCAACAGTCTCATAAAGTCAGTGCGATACTCGAAGACCGGCAGGGTTATCCTCTTCTTGTACAGCTCGTAGTACTTCGGCGTATACGGCAGCATGGTGTACGGATTGAACTGCACTTGGCTCTTCGTCGCCGTGGACGCCGCCGCCGCCGGATTATTGTTGGACGTTGTCGAGCCATCTCTGGAAAAAGTACAGCACCGTCCAGATTGCGTATTCTTCGATTCCATCGCGCGAAACGTGTGAAGTTGTCCGTCATGGGACGAACGATACTTCACACGTTCGCGCTCATATACGCATACACACACACACATACACGAAGAATTCGCGAAGCACGCGTGAATGCAATCGCATCGAATTGGGAAACCACGTATCTTCTCACGCGCGTGTATACGCGGGAAGGAAGGAAAATTATTATGCGAAAGTGAGTGCGTGTGTGGGTGTGTGTGTGTGTGTGTGTGTGTGGAGAAACACAAGCGTGTTTTTGTCTTCTTTCATCGGCACAAACGCGTTACAAACGCACGTGAGAAACGGGTCGCAGTACCGGGGGACCGTTACCACGCGAGAGAGCCGTAACCAGCAACGTTTAGCGACGGAGCCCGCCCGGAGGGCTGTCGCCGGAAGCGATGAGGAGCAATTCCGACGAGATCGTCGTGCCGATCAAGCGCGTGTACGACGTCTGACGAATTTGTATACGCGCGAACCGCTAGAGGAAGAGCCGGGGAAACCGGGGAAATTCACGGTGAATATCGACAATTGAGACGATCGGGCCCGCGAGGATGCACATGGCAAGGAGTCCCGCCGCCGTAAACGACGGCGACGACGGCCCCGCCGCGCGAATTCGTCATCTTCGGCTGCACTCACGCTCTTCGTTTGACGTACGGGTCCACAACCTCGATCCTGCGCTTGGACATAATCCTCCGTTACGCGGAACCCAGCGAAAACCAAAGCTGTTTACGATCCACTCCAGCCGAGGCGTCCGTCAAGATGGCAAACGCCAGCAGCGCGACCCGAGCAACTCGCCCGTCTTCTTGCGGTAACAGCGGACAACAGCAGATGGCGCGACCTCGCAGGCATCAGGCGTACGTGCGTGTAGTCCTAGATAATAGAGGTTGCTTCCCAGCGAGAGACACGGCTCGACACAGGTGTAATTATATAGCATCCATTATCCTTTTCTTTCGCCAAGTGTGAATGAAGGACAAACGATGATACAGCTAGACCCGCATCCACCTGCGTCTCTCGCTGGAGAAAGCAACCAGAGAAGCCAGATTGTGGAAAACCATCTGATTGGCCAGCCGATCACGTGATCCAGCGCCATATTGTTTCCACCTGTGGATGAGTGATCTGGTCTGTTCTTTTCAGCTACACCGTTGAACTGGTCTGATAAGTTAGAGTGAGATAAGTATATTTTGTCTCGTTCTAACTTATTTCGGCAGTGCAGCTATAAAGAACAGATCATTACTGTCATATGCGGAGAAACAAGATGGCGACTCTCGATCGTACCTGTGGCTCTTGTTATTTAGGACTCTAAAGCGGAGTCTGCAATGAGAATTTAAACTCTGAGCCTTAAGAAATTGACCAATCACGATCGATTATTCCTCTCATGTTCGACTGTGATTATTCAATTTCTTACGGCTTAAAACTTACATCTATTGTAGATCCGGACTTAAGCATCAATAATTAGAATACCGATCATGTAACTTTTCCCCTAGAGCGGTAACGTGAAATCTTGGGAGTGGGACCCGATTGACCATGGGCTACACCGATTGGCCGACTAGAAAAACACCAAATCACGGCTGGCTGTGGTTAGTAATCGTCAATTGCGATGTGGTTAACCGTGACACTCTTAACCTTTTCACTGCCGAATTACTGAATTAGTAGCAAAATGCTCTGTGCCAAATTAATTTTAGAATTTTTATTTTTATTTTAACTTAAAATAACTTATAGATATGTAATAAATGTTTACATCACTTCCAATAACACTGGAGCCACTATCACTTTCAAATTCAAAATCAGACGCGAGTATATTCGACAGTGGCACGGCAGGCATTGATTTCCGCTGACGAGATAACTCGACAGTGGCATATAAAAGGTTAAAAACTCGATATATTCTGAATTAGGAATGAGCAGCTTATCACAAGTTGAAGTTAAATGTTTAGAAAAGTATCGTGTTCGTTTTAACAAATATTTTTCTTAAATTAGTCTTTCTCAGTACGAAGTAATCTATTTAGAGCAATGACTAATAAAAAAAAAACGCCACAATCACAAAAGTACACAACATCTTTATTTATCATAAGAAATATAGTTATCAAAATGTATCATTCTCGATTTCAATCAGTCCTGATAAATAAGGATAGGCTCTGATACAATTATTTATTAAGTGTAATAAAAATGTAAAAAATGACATATATCTTATTTGTGTTAAATAAGTACATTTCTGACAACATACATGGCTTCATTGTCACATCCGAGCAGCAGAGTCGATCTATCGATGTCAATACTGTTTACTGGTTTGTGCATAGCAGCGCACAATGAAGTCACATTGACTTTTCCATTCGCACTAATGGTGTTCAACCAATGCGTATCTGTAGAATCTGATGTCGCAAAACAGACGGCAAGATCAGTCAGATGCAGTATTGCAACACACACACCAATAGTAAAAATAGCTTCTCACTTTGATCGCTTACCAAGTTTCAGTTTTGAGCTTTGTGCGTTATTCCAATGCCATAACTCCCCGCTGACGGAACAAGTGAAGAGATTGTCAGGCCTGTCTTGATGGAAGAGTATCTCGCTAACCGATTTCACGTGCGCATTGAGTTGCGATACCGGATAAGTATTCTGTCTCAAATCCCACACAGTTAAACTACCGTCACCACCGCCGGCGACTACAATATGCCTCTGCGTAGGATGGTGTGTGATACTCGTAGCTCCTATCTGTGCGGAAGTATTTTTGTTCCCTTACAAAGTGCTGTTAAGAAATTGCCGGAGACGCTTATGGTTTCGAACGTATATCAGAAGTAATATTCGCAGCACATACCTTGACCTGATCAGAAAGCATAAAGGTGGTGGCAGGAACATCACGATCATTTCTCAAGTCCCATACCTTCATGTGCCCCCGTGAATTTCCCGTTAGCACTTCACTGTGTCTTAAGAAATCGACGCAATATATGGAACAGCTGTCGGCACTTTCTAAGAAGCAAAATTGAAAAATGATGATGTACCTTTTCAAATATAATTGTCCAATCAAATAAGTATCCATGAATATATGCGTGTTCTCGTACTCATTAATATACTTACCAATAATTCTAACTGGCTTCTTCTCCGCAGCTGTGAGAAGATTAAGCTTCCCATCTTCTCCCACAGAAGCGATATCTTGTTCAAAAGTAGATAACGCGGTACAGGAAGCATAATCTGTTATTCTGCAAAAATGTGATTATTATAAATTGTGTTGTAATTGTCAACATGTGCTATAAATCTATAGTTTTATCAGTCTCCAAATTATATACTGTCAGATTAATCAAATTTACTCACTTGAAATTGTGAATAAATTCCCATGCCATATGTTCCTTGAATTCAGTATAGGCATCCTCATTAATTTGCAGCAATCTTACTGAACCCAAAGACGATGAGGCCACAAAGAAATCTCTGCTAATGAACTGAAAGTTTTTATTTCATATTAATATATATATATAGTAAATTAATAATCTTTTTATCATATAAAAAAATTAATTATTACCTTTAATTCGGTAACATCCCCTAGAAATGAATATGATGATAAAACTGTAGGAGACGGTTCCTCATCGTAATTTGTCCTAAATGTCCAATACGTTATTTTATTTACCTGTACACGAAAAATTGAACAGTCAACATTATCTCAATTTATATTTGTTACGTAGAATTTTCATTACCGTAAAATTAATTATTACTATAAAGTTAATTATTTAAAGTTAAATTGTTATAAAGTTTATTAGTCATAGAGCCAAAATATTACAACGATATGCTCTTAAAAAACAATAGTCTTCAAATGTTGAAGTAAAAATCAATTGAAAAAAACTGTTGATTAAATTAGGAGTACGATACAGTTGTTTTTTATATGTATACGATTTTATATAATAAAATTATAAATTTAGGTTAAGCGTGTACGAAGTAGTCCTACCGGGTTGTCCCAACTGCCAGTTAAGAAATGCTTTGCCTCTGTAAGATCTCCATGCTGCCACCTTATCTTGGAGATTTTCTCAGATATGAACGTCCCTTGCACGTTTTCGCCCATTATCAAAGAAAATCCATGCAAATTTGGAGAATAACCGGAATATCACAACGAATCAGCTGACTGCGAATCGCCCGCCCAAATATCGAAAGTACCGTTACAGTAAACGAGTTTAATCAATGAATTAACGTGATTTGATTTTTTCTTATCAAAGGATCAATTATCCTTCCAATTTTTCATAGTCTACCGATTTCTATATCGATGTTTCGTTAATCTGTTATTATTCCATCTTATTACTGACAGATAAGAAACCATGTTGCTCATCTCATTATTTGAAGATAAGATCATCCGGCTTACAGTTGAATCGTACTATCTGAAGAATGAAATGTCTCTCGATCCACGATTAAATTGTACAATTTAAAAATAAAAGGATCTCTCGTGTGATCCGCCGTTGAATGAAATTATTTAAAATAATATCGTCCGACATATAATTGAATCGTGTTACTTACGAGAATAAAGTCCGACTGACTTGTTATTGAGCTGCATCACATAGTCTGTTCTTTTTAGCTGCACCGCTGAACTGGTGCAATAAATTAGAGCAAGATAAGTATATTCTATCTCGCTCGAACTTATGCCAACAGTGCAGGTAAACAGAACAGACCGACAATTTCGAGCTGTCGGTAGAAACTGCGGCGAGTAGTGGCGGGTACGTTAAAGTTTAGTTAAAGTTCCAATTTAGAGGGGTCTCTTCTCAACCGACCGTTAGATGGCACTGGGCAAACCCTATTAATCTTTAATAATAATCCCTGGCAGTTAAATTATTATTAGTCTCGAAGTCTTCGCGGCTACGAACCGTTTCTGCTTGGCGATTGAATTGAGGTTAATTCAAGTGGTGTAATTCGCAGTGTAATTCGACGGTGAGTCAAGCGGACTTTTATTCTCAATTAGCATGACTCGATAACAAAAAACACTCTCGATTAGATATAAAGTCAGCAGCACACGGAGTGTTTTTTCTTGCTAGTTTGCTTGCGTGCTTCTATGTTGATTGATGCAAAGTTCAACTGAATTTCACTAAATGTGAAGTTCAGTTAACTCTGTAGTGATTGGCCAAATTCGATTTAATCTCAATCCCCAATCCGTAGTCTGATACGGGCTTTACACCATTCGGATTGAAATTTCTTTCTGATAAAACACAGTAAAGTCATCTGTTGGGAAAATACGACATTACTTTCCCTCCATACCCAATAGATATTTCTGATTATACATTATATATCTGGACGTTAATTTTTTTCTTCCATCAATTCTAACTTCTCCGTAATACATACAATTATAATTCTCGATTAAAAGATACCAGTATATCTAACCCCGATAAATCTAACGTTATCATTTGCATCGCATACTCATGTGCGAGTACACATTTCTAGAAAAGATCGATAATTAACTTTGAATTCTTTTCCAATCGTGCGGACAAGCGACCCACGTTATAAAATATGCCGTTCCCGCTGTCGAATTTCTCATCTCGGTGCGTTTTTTTGTTTATCGGGCAGCGCGAAAAGATGATAAAATCTATTTTCGCGGGCTGCGGAAGGCACCGTCGCTGTTTGAGGTCGGCGCTGTAATTTCGGTCACAACGGAGATGGGATTCGCAACCGTGCGATACACGTGTGACACACAAACGAAATGCCGGCTATCGCGCGTTGCTCCGTATCGTTGCTTTATCTCGGTGCGCTCCATTTGGCATACGGCAGTGGTGCGAGCGAACCTTCATGGAAAATGCGTAAGTACCAAAGTTCGAACCAGCTTGCATGTGTATTTTCCGATCAAAGTCACCGACGCGACGACACCGATTTCATCGGCCGTCTTATCTCGATCGGCTCTGCGATCCGAGAATTTAAAAGCCCACACCCGGGGAAAAATTATTATGCATATGATTATATATAATTATATAAAATCATACATGAATTTTGCACGTATATGTGGTTACATATACGATCATATGTGTCCACACGAGAAAAATGATGTTATGTCATTTAATTAAATGTCGATATCACGTACCGGTCGGAAGCACAAGTATAGCCAGGAGTATTTACTTCGATTATATTTGCGTATAATTTATAAACTACAGTATATTTTCGTGGACATATATGATTACATAAATTTTATACGTGATCCTTTCTTTCCCCGGGTAATTTCTACATGTAGATCTCAAGTTCGGAGTCAAAATCGAAACACGAACGCGATGGTCGCACTAACGGGACTACAAATGTCACTCATTTTCCTTTTTGTAACTTCGAACCTGATTTTTCTCCTTATCTTAGAAACGAGCAAAAAATTCCAAAATGAGCGAAACTATATAATAAAACTCGCACAAATGTGTGTATGATAGCATCACTTGATATTGAAATTATAAATAACATTCAAGCAAAAAATAGAATATGTACACATTAATTTTTAAACAATCTCCAGTCGTGAATGAAAGAAAAAATTCCATAAATCCGAGGAATTTAAGGATTCCAAGGGAAAAAATTCTTATCACTTCATTTTAAGCAATCCAATAAGGCCTTTTTGTGTGCATATTTCGAGGCGTTTCTCGCCGAGCGCGAATGAATGATTTGAACGCGACGCACCCTGCTGCAATTTTTAGCCGAGATTGAGGCCAATGTCACCAGCGACGATGTCACGGAAACGCATCAGGCGAGCTGCAAGATCGCGACGGAGGAAATGGTCGCGGACGCGCGTGCTACCGTCACGAGGGTGCTCACTGGAGCTTGCAAGGCGGGTGAGCCGAAAGAAACAACTCAATTTTATTTTCATCAATCATTCATTTGTAAATCTGCCGAAAAGAACATGCGCGAAGGACATATAAGATAGCTTTTCCCAGATGAAAAGGGAAATCACGATGATGTCAAAATGACGAGGAAATGACTATATGGTAAAAGACTCACTTTCCGATCGTGATTCGATTGTTATCTCGTCATTTCGACGTTATTTTTCACGTCATCGTGACGTCATCTGCTTTTACTTGGGTCATCGCATTGCGCGCGAATTCTGTGAAATAAGCGCAGGGGGGAAAAAATAGCTGAAAAAAGTAGCTGATCGACAGCATCAGTGTGACCGAAATAAACGTTCTTGATCTTTAATAGCAATGTTATTGAAACTAATATGCCATGCTATTGTTTGAATCATTTTAGTATTTGCGCGAAACGACATTGTTTCGTATTGATTTCAATCACACTTCCAATTCCCGCGATTTGCAGTTGAATTTTTAATTTTGACATATTCTTTCAATTCTCAACATTTTTTTAGCGCAATGCAATTATAACATTTAATTAAATTAAAGACGGTATCTCGTTATTTCAACGCGATAAATTTGATCGAAACCAAATACAGTTGAATACCGCAGATATTTGCGATGTCACTCCACGTGGCATCGATGTTCCGTCGAATCAACCACATATTTTGTGCTTTCAACTCATTCTTTCTTTCCGTGCGTCTGAACGATCAGCGATGATGTTGAAAAGAAACTAGAAAGAAGTAATTTTAATTTATCATCATAATTAATTTCAATGATTCCTCGCAAAGAAGAAAACTTCGCGTTGTTCGAGCGCTCATTCGAAAAGGAATATTCGTTCGATCGTTCGCTGTCGAAATTGTCCATAAAGACAATCCCAACCCGCCGCTCGCGATTCCAAATTGAACTTTAAGAGCCGGTTAATTCCTTAACGGGACAAAATCCCTTAATCCCTCGTGCCTTTCCACGCGGGGAATTAACAACTGATAATTCGTAAGAAAGGAAAGAAAGAAGAGAAACTTACGTTTCCAGAAACGATGAACGAAAAGTTCGCGAGCCTGGAGGAGAAGTTGACGAGGGAATTCGCGGACATGAAGTGGCTGCTTTACAGCGTCCTGGAGCAGTGTCCGGATCAGTTGAAAAATATTCGGGATGCTGTTTACGACGCCGAGACGCCCGACGATTATCCGTCTCCGCGACAGGACGAGATAGACCGATTCAACAACAGCCTGCAGAGCTTGTCGACGACGAGCGGTCAGTCGGCCAACTCCGAGATGAATCTCTCTCCATCTCTCTTGATGAAACAAAACAAAATACCGCCACGCGCGTCTACCAAATTTCCCAGGCGACTTTCGACGAGATGAGGCGCGAAGCGCGCGCGTTTGTTCGACGAAGCGTAGTTTGTTACTACGCGACGTTCTTAGTAGTCGGAAGTTAACTTTGCGCTCTCGGCCGGTGCGCGGTTCTTCATCAACAGCAGCGGGCTCTCTCAAGTTCGCAAGCGTCGTCCGCTCGCCGGCATTCGATCCTACGACCTGTGACACGAATCAAATTAGTTGCATGCAAATGTGAACCCGCTGGTAAAACGACGATTATTTTTCAACAGCAGCCGGCCGCGTGCTGCATTACGATTACGGCTCGAGCGACGGATAAAAGGATTTGTATATTTTGGTATTTTTATTCAATCGTTAAGGAAAAAAAAGTAAAAATGAGTCTCGCGCGCGCGAGGAAGTTGAGCTTTTTCGTGTTACGAAAATGAAAATGGCTCTCGGGCGTGTTATTAAAACGCGAGATAAAATTCGGAAAGGACAGAGTTCAACGGGAGCCGAACGGACGGAAATGGGTACGTCATGATTCGCGATCCGATTCCGAGAACTCCCGATCCGTCTTTCACCCGTGAGTCGGAATTTTTGTTCTGTATTCAAAGTGATTTCATTGCGTGATTGATTATAAACATTGGATATAAACAAAGGGTATACCAGAAGTCAATGGACAGATTTCACGGACACGTAGGACGGTTTGAGATGAGTGAAAAAGCTCCACCATTTTGCAGGCAAAACACGCGAAATTTCGAGTCATTAATTATGGAAAATCGCCATATACAGGGCTTTCTTTAATTAGTCAACATTTTATCTCGTACATGGGCAAATTTCATATATGATCTTTTTTCCTTTTCCTAGGAAGTCTAGTTAGTAGTACTAGTTAAGTCTTAGAAAATCTGTTATTGTACATCTTTGACGCTACACATAGGAATAGTTATTTCCGTTTCCTCCATTCGAAGACTTATAATGTATATAATGTAGATCCAAACGAGCTTAATGTAGAAAATTTCGACTCGATCATCCTCGATAGCTTTCGAAATATATAGAAATACACGAAACGCGAACTTCCTAGAGAGCCAAGCTTGAGCGGCTCGCAAAACGTAATATTTTAATTCCGGGTCAGTAAACACACACGCACATTCGAGTGTGCGTGTGTACATTTGCATCGTGTTCCAGAGTAACGTCAAAGAATGTAATGCGGATCTTGCATGTTGTGAAGTCTTGCGCTTCTTGCGCACACAATACGCATTGTGGTTGCATCGGAGCCTAAGCTAAACATTTGTATGTAAGGGATGTGTGGCTTTATGCAAATTATGGAAATCTGTCGAGGACGCGTAGAAAGTTCACGGTGTCCATGGGGAGCATAACGACAAAGCCGCAGCTTAGCCGGGATAAACATGATTCCACCGGAATGAATAGTGCAACGAAGTACCCCGAGATATTTATCCCGGCCGGGCGGTAGATGATTAACTCAACCGCAAGCCAGAAAGCATTTGAATGTCAACGAAACATTACAATGTCCGTCGAGAAATTTGCAAGCAGCCGCTCTTGAAGTTTCGTCGCAATTACGTAATAACAATTAAAACGCGCCGGATAGATATCAATTACCGGGCTTCACCCGTCATTCTGATCGAAGTGTGCGCATCGCGCAATGTCTCATATATATATATATATATATATATAATTCTGAAATTTATTTACAATATCTATATAATACCTGTACATTAGTCTTTAATATTACAATAATTTTTTAAACTTTCATTTTATACATAAATATGTCAAATCAGGAAAAAATTCAATGTTTTATGATGCTTGCACATGTATAAGTTTATAATAAAATACAAAAACGATTATTAAAATTCCTATTACGCATCGTTAGTTCGATTAGCTTCTGTACCACGCATATATTACAAGTTTACCTTTTACAAGTTTATGTTTGGTCAAACGAATCCTCTTAAAGAGCTAAATAACAAGAATGTCCAGTGTCAGATATGTGTCAACGGCACTGGTTCTTTCACTTTACCAAACTTTCCTTCGCTTTCGTATAGATTTATCGAAATTATTGAGTGGAGTTTCCGACGGCATGCTTAATTCAATAGCAGATCTATTAGAGAAGATGGCAAGACGCGGCAGTTGCGCGAGTTAGCCACCCGACATACCGAAAAATCCGTAACGCGAGTCTGCTTTTCCGTTTCAGGTTCGACGAGCGTGTTCATCTATTATTGGCAGGTGGAGAACTTCGACGGGATGCTGGCGAGCTGGCCGACCGGTCGCTCGGTGCGCAGCCCTACCTTCCACGCCGGTCCAAGCGGCTACACCTTGTACCTGAGAGTCACGCCCAAATATTTCCCCGACGGTACGATCTTCGTGGGTGTCGGATTGACTCGCGGCCCTTACGACTTCGTTCTCGCGTGGCCGTTCCCATTTAGGATCCGTCTCGAGGTGAGACCGCGACGTCGATGTGAAAAAAAAATAAAGAGAGAAAGGCAGGCAGAGAGAGGGTGGCCCGGGTGATTCTCGTTTCGCCCCGGGGGTGAATTGGTAACTCGTTTGAGATTTTACTTCGGGTTACCTCGGGACAGGAGTAACGCAATTGCGAGACGGCGCAAAAGAGAGAGCCGGCCGGCCGGCCGTCCGTCCGTCCGCGGCTAAGACGAAAAACGCGGAGCCGGAGTTTGTCGCAGGGAATCGACATCTCGGGCTGCGACCGCCGGTGGAGGACGGTGCCATCTCTCTCGTGAGAGACCGCTTCGGATGAAACTTCCGTAATGCGATCGGATAATTTCAAAGCGAGTTAAGAGTTTCGAATGCGTACGCCGAGAGTTTCGTAACGTACATATCGTGCGCAGAGAAAAAGGTTTCTTTACACGGAAACAAAATTCGTCTTAAATCAAGAACGGATATTCTCATATATGTAAGCGAGAATATCATCAATCTCCTTAGGAGACTTTTAGTCTTGATCGAATTTATTTTTTGACGCAAGTATTACTTGAATTTAATTCAACACTGAAAGTCTTCCAAGAAGATTATAATATTCTTGCACATATATGTGAGAATATCTATTCTTGATTCAAGATTAATTTTTTTTCCCGTGTGGATGTAGCATTTCTATTTATTTGATTAAAATTTGTCTCATAGAAACATATACGAAATACTGTTTGAGTAAAAATTTTACTCTCATTCAAGAAAACTCTATTATTCGACAGAAAGAACGCTATTACTTGGAATAATATCTTTCAACCGAATGAAATATTACTTGGTTACGATAAATATGTAAAATGAAATAAATAATTTCTTTGTAAGAAAATTATCTTTTGTTTCAAACAAATCTTTTATTTAAAATAAAGATACATATTCGTTGGAAAGTCTGACGATCGTTCTTATTAATCGAGACATCAGTTTCTTCGGAGCCAGTGAGGAAATTTGGATGCAGTGAAATTTGTTAAATTTGAACGAAAATCTTTCTCTCAGTGTGCGACCTCATGTCGACTGAAATTTCCGTCGACTGTTCGAGTCGCGTTACAAACGAACAGCAAGTGACGGGAAAATCAAGCCGGGTTTTCCAGTCTGAAACAGCCGTCTCTCTTTCTCTCTTTTTTTCATTTCTCTGAATTGCGGTATTTTGCAAAAATGGAATTACCTATTGTAGAGTTAGGTCGTCATCGAAGAGATCAGTTATCCGCGAGTTTCTACTTCTTATTTAGATTTGGAATTTTTCACGCATGTGTCTGGCAACGTTGATTGAAGCGTCGATTGAAACGCGATCGACGTTTCAATCGGCATAAAATCGGCAGGTTTTAGATCACTCGCCGAGAGATATGCGCGAGGACCGGCGATCTCGTGTCTGGGATCCGGCTACGCTCTGCACGGAACATTTTTGGGGCCGGCCCCCGTTAACGGGGAAGCCTGACAATCCAGAGTGCGTCGGATTGAGTATCCCCAGACGTGTCGTTCGATCGAAACTACCGTCAGCGGTGTCTCAGCGACACTCCAGATATACCAGATACACGTGGAACGGAGGTATGCTGATCAAACTTATCGTTTACCTATAAACTATATAAGATAAATATAAATATAGTCATCAAGTAAGAATGTTTGTTACACATAATTGTACTCTTGCTATATTATATATCACGACGAAAACAAATATACGCTTCTTAATATATTTTCTTACTGCTTGTAATATTATACGTGGAGTGAAAGAAAGGATGATAAAATAAAGAAGGTGAGAAAGAAGGGAGTCTAGTTAAAAGAGTAATTATATATTGAATAGTAATTAAGTAGACAACAGGTTTTATAGAATTTATTGGATATAAACCAGACGCAATTTAACAGTCGTTTAAAAAATATACGGTTCGAAGTCGTTAACAGCAAATCAATTACGATCTTATCGGTGAGAAGGGGAGGAGGGATGATGGGTACATACAAATAAATACATAGCTATATCGAGACACTCTTAAAAACAAATGAAGATTCCTTTAAGCTCTAACTCTAGCTAGCATCGATAATTACATCGATTATATCTCCTGTATGCATCCTTCCTTGCGGGACAACAATACATTCGCGCGCAGCGGTAAAATTCTCCAACGACAAAGGCGGCAGGAGACAATACGCGTTTTCGCGTTTAGAAGTTGCATATATAAAATATCTAGATCGCGCAATTGCGTGCGTGTGTGTGTGCGGTAGTAGTGGTGGTCGTGGTGTGTTCGTGTATGTGTGTGTGTGTGTGTGTGTACATTTTTTCGTTCACATTTACATCCGTTTAACTATAACGAGGCGAAGTAAGCACATATAACTAGGCGAAGGTAAGTATTCGCGTCGAGTCGCGGACGCTGCGAAGAAAACGCAATTATCCGGCTTGTTTGGATTTCCGGAAGAGAAAGTGAAATTTCTTGCTTGTAAGGGTTGTTGCGCCGTATTGACTAGATCTTTCTTTTTTTTTCCTTTTTCTTTTATCGAACTTTTCGATCGGTGCGTTTCGCGCGTGAATCTTTTTACGGGGAGCAACACCGCTCTCGGAAATGCGAAAAAGAAAGTTGTAAAATCCTGAAATCGTGAAGCCTGAGGTCGGCGCCCACGCGTCAAGTTTTATCGAGCAGATTAGCTCTCCAGCGTGTCGCGTAGAGCCGTTTGACCGGGTAGATAGACCTGCTGCGGCACTCGTTGTAATCGGTAATCGTATTCCTCACGATCGAGCGCGTCCCAAGTGTTTTGTTTGGCGGCGTTCAGCAGCGCTCGGTACAGCGTAACTGGAAGTCGAACGTTGTCGCTCGCGCGGAAGTCCTGCGGATCCCGTAGAGTGGGTGTACTCACGGGAAAACTCCTTTTTCTGCCGCATCCTATGCAGAATCGAAAACGCTTTATGAAACGCTGCACGAAGGTTCCAACGTCGCGTTTAAGCGGAAAGTTTCTGTTTTTTTCTCGCCCAATTTCTTTTGCACGAAGAAATGATATTTCGTTTTGTTTGTGTTTCGAGATGTTAAAATCAATATATCGCGTTTCCCGCAAAATCGGAACTCTCAAATATCCCCATCTTTTGATTCGTTCACGGAGAAAAAGGTTTCTTTAGATTTAGCATTTCTATTCATTCGACTAAAATTTGTCTCATATAGAAACAACATATGCGAAATATTAATCGTTCTAGTGAAAATTTGATTATCTCATTCAAGAAAACTCTATTATTTAACAGAGAGAACAATTATGAAATTTGCTTGGATGCAATAAAATTGATTAAATCTGAAGAAATCTTTTTCTCAGTGCTCTCTCTAAATTTCATTTTATGTTTCTATTTCTACATATTTTACTTCTATTTTTACTTCTATATATTTCTGTTTCATCTGGATTTAAATTTTCGAATATTTTTAAAAGATTTGAATCTTGATTGTACAATAATATATTATAATATATTATAATCGTCGAGAATGAAGAGAGGAATTATTTCTCACCCGTAAAAGCGTTGCAGAAAGGTCTTTTTGTTTTCATTGTCCTCTCCGTCGTAAGAGCGTCCAAAAGTTGCCGTTCGAACTGTAAGAGCTAATTTTATTTTCACGTTTTATTTTCCCGAGACATGCGCGACACTCATTATTCGTTAATGCGAAAGTAACGCGGAATATCTATCATTTGCGTTTATCGTTCTGTCGTTTCTTTTTTACGATCGAGGGATGTAATTACACAAAATAAGATCTGTATTCTAGACCCGTAATTTTGAAACTGTATTTTATTGAGCTCTAAAGGTAATCACAGTTTAACAAAAAAAATAAAAATATCAGAACGGGACTAATCATTTCTCGTAGTTTTTCAGACGCTGAATACGAATCCGGTTTCCAAATTGCTCCATCACGTCACAATTTTAGAAATTTGCAGTTAAGATTGAAAAAAAGCTATTTTCACATATTTTTTTAACGTATTTATTATATAATAGTTACGATATGTGACATATTGGAGATGTTTTATTACAATCAAAATTAAGCATATTGTTAGGATTTTCAGCCTTCAAAAAGAATTTTTGGAATGTCGGCTGTAATTAATAAGGTGTTCATGGTTAAATATGTATGATGTCTGTTGCGAGAAAACTGTGAATTAGATCATTAGATCATAGACGATTTACCAAATAGCTGTCAATTATTTTTATTTAAACTTAAGGGTCTTTTAAAGTCGCTCAGTATGAATCCAATGCCAAAATTGACAAAAATCGTAGAATTAGTATAACCGATGAGAAAACTAAATTATGTTTTGATTCTAGCAAAAAATCGTACAAAAGATTTTCACACTACTCAATACAAATTTTTTATCGGTCATAGAAATTGCTGACAACACAAGAAATTCCTCTTGAGAGCTGAAAATTCTAACAATATATTTTATTATTAATTTTAATTTACTAATTATAATGTGACAAAATATGTGAAAATAGGCCTATTTGCGACATCAATTAAGAATTTCTCAAAAATCGTAACGGGATAAGGGAATCTTGAAGCCGTAATTCACATTTCGCATCCAAAAACTTATAAGAAACCAATAGTCTCGTTCCAGTCTTCGAAAAGAAGTTACTTTTTCTCAACTGTGTGTTCATTCGACAGTTAATGTTTGTTAACACAAGAGCTCCGGTCCTCGCTTCGTCGGATCCGAAGGGCTATGAAAGGGCACAACACGCGAAAACATATATATATATATATATATATATATTACCTTGTCCCTCGAAATCTCGGTGTTTGCCACTTTCAGCAGGCACATGCAGGCCAACGCGCAACAGAGGTATTCGGTAACCTGTTGAACGAAACAAAAGGTTAACAGACGCAAAGCTCTAATCCCCTTACGTAATATCCCGATGAGATGCGAATAACGTAATAAAAAAAGAATCGGATAGTGCTGAGCGGTGTGTGTGTGTGTATCGCGTGCGAGCGATTTGCAATAAATGTTCTCGTTATGTAAACGTTCGTTGTAAAGGCCGCGAAGCCACAAACGCGTGCGGCTTAATCTCCTTAAACGCTTTAGATTCGATTTTGCTCAATGGTTTAATTAATTTAATTGACAATTAGCGAAGATGCGATACGGTCATCATGCGACGGAACGTGCGACAAAACGCGTTCAAATAGACGAACGCGTAAGAAGACCCGCTTTAATTAACTCCGCGGGGATAATCGATAACGATAATCTACGTGTCAACCGATGTGTGTCTTCCGATGTAAATTTGCACTGCAGGAAGATGAGAAAAAGAAAAATCCGCGCGCTCGATATCGCGCCTTTTTTCACGCGAGAGCTTCCCGCCGCGAATCGCTGCGCCGAACCCCAGCAACGGACGCGCGTATCGTGACGTTTCTTTAGTACGGAGTGTATCTTTAAAATGCGGCACGTGGTTTTTTTTGCACGGAGAAAACAATTCTTTCATAAACATTGATTTTATATGGACTTTATAAACACCTTGACATAATATTTTACAGATGTTTTTAAACTGTATCACTTGATAATATATTGTATTTTTAAATATTGAAATTATAACATAGTGTAGAAACATTATTTTTAACGTTTCAGCCAAATATCGTCAACAGTAACGTAGTATAAAATATTGAGAAATACATATTTGAAAACGTTACATGTTATAATTAAATTAATTAAAATATCATAACGTTGTGTTAATGTTTTCTTGCTTACTGGGTTATCATAACGTTATTTGATTTTCACTATCAATGAGATTTACTGTCAATGTGTATCTCGATACTAAGCAACGTCGAGTTATTCGGATAGAAATCTTCATGTTCACCAAAATAATTTCTTTAAAGTCAAATCGATGAAATATTTTATATAACGAGGATTCTCGTTAAATCTCTCGTCAATCAATGCGTATAAGAAATTTCGCTTTTATTCTTTTACTTCTTTTCTATATTCGTGGCGAAGTACTTCGCATAATCACACACAATTTCAGGAGTATCACAAGATACATATAGAGTGTCCCAAAAAAATGTATACACACTTTGAATGATTATAAAGTCAGCGTTCATACAGTTCATTTTCAAAGATGCAAAAGAATCTATAGAAATGAATAATTTTTTTTCTTTTGCCTGTTTTTAAACTGATCACCATTCTCTGGTCCAGGCACTGCAGTTAACGCGAAGCTGTTAAAGTGTGTACACATTTTTTGAGAAGGGGGGACACCCTGTATATCGAAACTTATCACACCCGAGAATCAGAATATTGAAAAGAAGGACACATGTGTGCCAGGAGGTCAATTAAAATCTAAGGAGCCGCATCTCGAATAAAATCAGTCATCTCGACCGCACGCTGAAAAAAAGAATTAGGTAAGTGCTGAAATTTGGCGAATATTTGCCGACCAAACATTTGGATTACTACAATCAAATAATTTAGTTCCACATACTATATATATACAATACCGTGATTCCGTACATTGTATATTTAGCATACCGAACTAAATTATTTGGTTACAGTGAACGAATATTCGGTCGGCGAGTATTCGCCGAATTCTAGGTACTTGTTACCGAATCCTTTTTTTCCGTGTACACCGAAGTCGAAGTCGAGAGACTCTTCTTTGAATGAAACGAACACGAATTTAACCTTCGTCCCGTCCCGACGACTTGAAGAGTCAGTCTCGCGGATTCACCGGACCAACCTTCATGTTCCCTGATCTTCCTTGGACACGCCGAACGGCTCTCGTAGGACCTTCCAAGTGTCTTCAGGACGCACCTCTGTCGGAACGTCACGCTCTCTCTCTTTCCTTCTCGGTCAACTGTCAACGCGTACCGCGTCTGTTCGCCAAAGGGTTGTCGCGCGCGGTTCAAGCCTGTGGGCTTCTCCTTCTCGTTTGCGGGGCAAAATCGCGCGGCCGCTCTTCAAATACGAGCCCCTCCATGTCTCCCCCTCTCCTTCCCTCCTCCCTCCTGCGGTAAGTGCCTATGGGGGTGCATGCAAGCAACTGGAGAACGCATGACCGCAAGGGCGCCGGCAACTTGCTCGTATTTCACACCTCCCCCTTTCCCCCTCCCCGAAACCAGACCCTCTCTTCGCATCCGTAAAGATGCGCCTGCGATTTCGTAGGCGAGCTACGGAACGCGTCGTGTGTCCACTTTGACCCTTCTAAGACAATGTTTTTTTTATCGCTTTTAATTCCACCAGGCAGAGGCACAGAGAGGGAACCTCCTCTGCACGCGGGGGCGCTCGGGGCTATTTTTATTTTCTTCGGGTATCGAGTAAAGGAGCAAGGAGAGAGAGAGAGAGAGAGGAAGGAAGAAAAGAAGGGAGGGAGAGAAATATACGGTGTATTAATAACAACGTAACAATTACGTCGTTATTCTTTATAATTAGCAGAAACACACACGGATGATTATACATCGGTCGGAATATAAAATAACTTCCCGCCGACGCTGAAAATTTCACACTCGCCCCGATTTCGCTTTCTTTCTCTCTTTCTCTCTCTCTTTCGCTGCGATCTCGCTTTTAATTCGATTATCGTTGATTTTCCATCTGATCCCTCCTATTAAAACCGACTCAATCTTCGCATTTAATTCAAACCTAATTTGATCAATTAATTGACCATTTAATTGTACGGTTACGTTCATATTTGAACAGATAAGAAAATTTATGTATGTTGCAAACGGTCTTAAATTCCTAAATTCTCGTGTTCCTTTAACATGGGGAATGTGTTTATAGGTACACATATAAGCGAGATCTACAATGAGAATTTAAGCTCTAAGCCTTATGAAATGGACCAATCACAGTCGAATTATAGACGGAGGATCAATTATAATCGGTCAGTTTCTTAAATCTTATGCCTTAAATTCTCATTGTAGACCCCGCTTTACGCGTCCATCCCAACGCGTTTCTGAAAAGGAATTTTTTTAAACGGTACACGATATGTAATTCCACAAAATATCGATTTTTTACTTCCCCGGCCGAGAGCGCTCGAGCGACGTTCCTGTGGCTGGATTATATGATTCTCTCTGTTGTAGATAGGTGTTGTTCTACTTCTCCGTGACTATTCACGGAGTACGCATCTTATGTACTTCGGCCGAGGCGGTACATGTTGCCTCTTAAGATCCACGGATCATAAGTTATGTCGCGTACGGGTCGCGCGCGATTTAATGGCCGGTTTCAGGCGGTATTAATGGCAAAGCGCGTGTAGCACAGAACGCTGTTCTTCATCGGTGTTTCACGCCGCTCGTGCGAAAGAGAACTCTCTCTCTCTCTTCCTCTCTTTCTCTTTCTCTCTCTGTCGCTGTGTATTTATTATATCGCGTGCGTGCGTTTTCAATTCGAGCGGCAGGCTTCAAAAACAATCCGATACCGTAATGGAATATCATGTCGATTAATTGGCCGTCTGTGCGTAACGTCCTGTGTGTTTGTGTGTGTACGTCAATTGGAAGTTAAATTGCACAAAGCGCGCACAAAGTGAAGAAGTAACTGTAATGCGTATCGTACATCGGGGAAAAAACAAAATAATTTGCCGGCACAATTTTACAATACTGTCGCGGGCGAAATGTCTGTCAGCTGTCCACTACGTGGGTAGTGAAATAAAAATGTCAAGAGTTGTCAATTGCCATTCGCCGGATTTGTTTCGCTGAATCTAGAAGTTACTTTGTTGCAAGGACAAACTGATAAATACGAAGATGAACAAATTAGGAAAACACTGTTTTCTTTTAACGTGTCCTAAGGACAAATTCACTCGGCAAAATTTTTCTATCCTAGCGACAAAACTGGTTCTGCTTTTATTGCGAATAATTCGTTAATTTGGTCATCGTCAGCTGGTATCAACGAATTTGAATTTGAATTTTGTCGCTGTCGCAACGAATATGCAGCTGTGGCAATGATGATTTTGCTGTGGTTTTACAACAGCAAAATTATTTTTCTGCTGTGAAAGAGTGTCGAGAAATGCGCGATGTTCTAATGGTTCTCAGTCAAAGCGATTTGATTTCGATCGTTATTTTACGGTGAATATATTGTGTGTACAAAATACTTTATATCACTACATTGAGGAAGAAAAGACTTGATAATTTATTTGCAAAATATAAGGTTTATTTCGGAGAAATAAATGTTTATTTAAATATGGCGAAATAATATTTTATTCCTAGCAAATGAATTTTATATATATTTTTTCTTGATAATTGCTAATTGGACAATTAATAAGAAAACTCAAGTATATTTCATAAAAATATATATTCCGTTATCGCAAAGTTAAATTTCTTTCTAACCGATAAATATCGAGGAAAATATCACAGAAAAACATTTATTTCGCGACATTTCAATGTCTTTTTCTTAGTGTATCATCGTTTATCACGAATTCTTCTCACGCACGTAGAAAAATAACCAAATTAGTGAATTATTCGTAATTAGAGCGAAAAAAGTTTTGTTACCAGGATAAAAAAATTCTGTTAAATGAATTTATCCTCGGAATACTTTAATTTGACACTTTAATCAAATTAATATTCTGATACATTAATTAATTTGTTCTTATAGCGAATAATCCAGCGAGTGGTAACTAGTATTCTTAACCAATCATTTTGCTGTCCACACAGTAACTGACGGATTTGCTGTGCTAGCAAGTTATTTTCTCTGTGCAGTTTTGATGCGATCCTAATAAGATCTACGACGATGATCTTCGTTAGGCATAAGCAGGATGTTTATATTTTGATCGCGTTAGATTTCAATAATAAAATTAAACTAAAACTGAACAAAGTTAAATGTGAACAGTAAATGTTGATAATAAATCTTAATAATTTGGCTTCATTGAAAAACTGCCGACTTATTGTCATCCAGTTTTCCTCGACTGATTTTCAGATGATATTTCCGCTTCAAAAACTTTTGAGATGTCATTAGCTTACGAATTAAGGAACTGGAAAAAGAGCTTCGCGTAGATAAAACTCCGCACACGAACTGCAGACTCGTTTAATAAAAAACTCCGTTTTCTCGCTCGAAAGCGGACATTACGTTAACGGGAAATTTGGATTTTACATTTTATTATTATGTAAAACCGCAAACAAGCTTGATATTAAAAATTCATGCAAAATGATGGTTTTCACCGGAAATGAGAACTTTTCGCGAAAATTTATTTCGGATTCGCCAAAGAGACCGTTGTTAAAATTTATTTCAGTCCAAATGTATGTATCTTGTTATATATACGCATTAGTGCAAATATCACGTATTCACACTCCCACACGAGAAAAATTAATAAACGCTGAAATAAAATGCCAACAGTTAAGACTAAATATATATAGATCTGTAAAATTTACATTCAACGGAATTCTCGACATACAAGTGAACAAAAGAAGAAGGAAATTCCGTTTGAAAAGGTGTCCTTCCTTCGAGAACGATCTACCTTACGAGAAGTTACAAATCATAGATCAACGGCACACTTGATGCTTCACGATAAGCGAATAACAGTGACAAACTTCGTCTCGTTTCGGCTCTCTATTTGCGTGACGAAGAAGTATAAACGCGCTATTTCCACCGAGGTTTCCTCGCGCGTGCATGATTTATCGCGCTACTTACGCACAACAAACGAGAACTATGGACTATGCAGAAAAAAAAAGGTCGGAAGCGGCGGGACCGAACAGGGGATTAGTGTCGATTAAATCGGCGGCTGCCAGGAAGTCTCAGCACAGGCGGACGCGATAAGAGTCTCCGTGTGAAAATCGTAGAAAAAACAGCTGGGGTTAAGTACTTACACAATTCCCACATCAGAACCCGCTGCGTTACGATCAGGTCGTTCAACCCGCGTCACCGTAGCGACTCGGACGATTTTCTTTTTCTTTTCTTCTTATTTTCATCTGAACTTTTGACCACGCAATGTCTACGTTCAAATCGACGAGTTTAAATCTGATTCTAAATCGGCAGGTGGACAAACGTTACTGCACGTGAATGCCGAGAAAAATACTTAATGTCAACTATAAATTAGCAAGTGTTGTATAAAATATATTTATAGATCGCTTTTAAATGAATATTAATTTTAGTGTAATCGTAACGATATATCGACAGCTGATGCTGAATCGAACGGAAAAGCTATCGGTTTGTTTCAATAAGTAATGCGGACCATTAATTTTAGATATGACGCGTCGACACACATACGCTGAATTAAATAACGCAAAGCGGTAAATCATCGCCACCCACGGATACCGCGTAATACGCGCACTTATGAATAAGAGATGCGACTTATGTAAAATACTGAACCGTACTAGTAGGTATCACATAAAATGAGTACGTTTATAGCAGAGCCCGCGTTTATGCGAGTTGCATTTGCATGCAGTAACGTAGCTTAAAACGTTTATCGGACAACAGCCGTTATCTAAAGCAGTTATTTAAGATAAAATTTGGATCCAATATTTTATTAATCACCCTGAAACGTGTACGTCATCTAGTCTGAAAAAAAGGAAAAGACCGACTTTTTCATGTATCCAACTCGCGAGGAATACGCAAAATTGTTATAAATAATATATAAATTTTAGTTGAAATGATGGCGATTATATCCTCGATACGAAAAGATGTATAAAGACACGTATATAATCCTGGCTTGAATTAGCCAGGTATAACAGTATAATATGTAAGAACCTGTTTCTAGAGCTGCCCGGATAGCTCAGTCGGTAGAGCATCAGACTTTTAATCTGAGGGTCCAGGGTTCGAGTCCCTGTTCGGGCGTTTTTTTTTTTAATTATTTTCCAACAGAATAACGAAAATGCCCAATCCTTACCGTATATGTATTATAGAATATAACGTGTCTAAATTTTACGAACGGATAGGTATGTTTAATACTGGCGAAAATTAAGTGAGCGGAATCATGTCAAAATTTGTGGTTCTTTTTTTTCCGTTTACACCAATAATTGTAGAAGTTCGATGAGTGGACCGCAGATTTTGCTTATTAAATGTGTAATTAAAGATATTATAAAAAATGCATGAAAAAAGGGAAAATCTTTTACAATGATTTATCGACGTTTAATTTACAAGATACTCTTATCGGTTTCATAAATGTTTAAAATTAAACAGAAACAAAATGTCGTGTGAATATGTATTTACTTCATCTCAAGTCTTGCCTTATGAAGTAATGTGTAACCATGCATTTCATGATAAACATTTTGTACTGTATGTCCCATATATAAATTCTAGTTACTTAAAATTATTACATGTGCCTATGCTATCTTAGAAAAATACTGTAGTATGCGTAGGATGGATGCTGTATTAATTACATATTAAAAATAAGTAACAGATAGTATATATAAAAGTATATAAAAAGGAGCAATGTATAGAAAAGTAGAATATATAGAATATAGAACGACGTATGCAACAAAATTAAAATCTCTACAACGGGAGCTTATCAAAAGCTTTTGGTCTTATGGTAAAATCTATAAGAGTTACTGAACACACTCGTTATCCGTGCAAGATAAAAAAAAATTAATGGAATGTTATAATATACATAACGTAACATAATAGGTTAACTCTTTTGGCTCTTCGAACATTGTTCTTTCACGCTACCATCCGCCATGCCGAAGAAAGCTTTCTCGGCCATGTTTATAAAGAGACCTGTTTCTACGACTCCAGGTACCAGAGATATTTCTTTGTTCACTTTGCACCAGTCGGTTACGTCCTGCGGAAAATCCCAGTCCAAAATAAAATTGCCGTTATCTGTCACCACCGGACCCTGTAGGTAGCGTATAAATTATTCACACATTTGACTTTGTGACGTCAAATTGACTTAATAAACTAAGTAACAAAAATACATGCTTACAGCCTTTGCCAAAGCCATCCTGATCTTCGCAGTTCCCCCGTACGTGGTCTCGATCCTACGTTGGATCGGTGTGTACGCTATAGGAACCACTTCGATTGGAATCCCTTTTTTGTACTGGTCGCCCAGCTTTCGTGAATTTTTTCTGGAACATAATACGATCACGTGACGATCGTAAATGATAACAAAGTGAATCTTACACTCACGTATAGTCTGCTATGACAACAAACTGCCTAGCACAGGAAGCAACAATTTTTTCTTGCAGCAAGCATCCACCGCCACCTTTGATGAGGTTCATCTCAGCGTCAACCTCATCAGCTCCGTCAATCGCACAGTCCAACTGTTATATTCAACTCACTTGTTAAACATGCGATAAAACAGGAAGGTTAACCATAGCTGTATTGGCAATGAATTACCTCTGGATAAATTTCCAAGTCACCTAAAGTCAGACGATTATCCACTATAAGCTGGCGAGCTTGAAATGATGTGGGGATGCAAACAACGTTGAGCCCTTCATTTCTGACACGTTCAGCTGGAAAGAAAATTCCTTGTAAACATGCGCAAAAAGTACTCCTGTATTTCTTCCTCTCATTCCCCTTTTTTATAGATCGATAATAATAAAAAAAAGTATTATAATCAATTACATAAGAAATATAGTTTGACAAAGAGTAAAAATATGCCGATGTTGTTGATGTGAAAGGTCGCGGTTCAACTCAGTCACACGTGTTTTTAGATAAAACAAACGGTAGAATGATGCATAAAATATACTGTAATACCAGAGTTTAAACTTTTCAGACCCCACACTTTTGGAAGAGAAAAATGATGTCCTAACAGCTGTCAGCATCAATATGTTGTACACCGTGCGATAATAATTTTATCAGTCGATAGTCTCATCGCAAGAATGTCACAGAATAGGCTTTCAGTGTTTACACAAATGTTACATTACAGATACATTTTTTCGATAAAACAAAAAATATATATAGAAGCGATCGTACATATACAACGGATTTTTACAACTATGTGTCGATGCGATCAAACTTTGTTTACATTCCCGAAATAAAGAAGTAACGCTATCGCCAGAACGATAGATTGAATATGACGCACGTGATACGCAATCTTTCAATGCGACCGGCCGGTCGATAATTACGACTGAAAAAAAAAATTGTCATTACCAAGTCTATGAACGGCATAAATCACGGTGGATCCGCTGCCGATGCCGAGCACGGTGTTATCCTGGAAAGATAATGCAATTCAGCCGGGACATTAAAATAACCTCCAATAACACCGGGGATAGGTTATCATAAAATAAATTCTCTCACCTGCACGTACTCGTCCACAGCTTTGTAAGCCGCGATCTTCTTCGCATCTTCGAGCCGGCCCATCTTCTGTAAATTTCTCGGAACGTTTCCGTGCAACAATCTCGCGACCGTTTGGACGAGCGAATGAACCATGTGGAGAAGTTTTCCCAAGTTTTGCGTCTGACGTCGTCGCAGCTTGGTTCAGGGTTAAGCCAATGCCCTGACACATATCGTATCTAGACACTCGCGTGCATCATGACCGTCGTTTGAAACATCTCTTCAACTGTCTCTCTCTTCCTATCGCTTCATCTGATATTGTGTAACATTCCTATCTTTATCTCTTAACCTCGTAAATAACTTAATGTTTATCGCAAACGTAAAATAGCTCGCAGCTGTCGAATTGTCAGATACAGCTTCGAATAACAAAGCGCGAAAATCTCAGAATACGATTCGATTTGAAAATATCCACAATTAATGTTATTATATATAATGTTGTAATATGTGTGTCGATATTATATTATTAATATAAAACAATATAATGCATATTAATTTTATGATAATATGTAATATCAATATTAATAATTAACATTATTATAAATAATAATTACGGTTATTGTGAGTAAATAATTAATAAACAGCAGGTACACAACGATACAAACCAATCAATACGGGGTATATTTTTTTACGTTGTGTCAATTATTAAAGATTGCAATATCAATAGCTCGGATTTGTAACCGATTAGAAACGAAGATCCTCGGCGAACCGAGTGTCAGAAAGCTGAGTGACACAATTTCAGTATTGAGTGAAAATTCCCATCTCCAAAAGAGCTGCATTTGACACGTGCAGTGAAATGTTATAATTATGGAATTAATTTAACTTGATAAATTAAATGTTAATTTAATTCCAAAATATTTGACAGTCGGAGAACGAAAAGTCGAGACAAATGATGATGATCTTTAAAAATTACAAATACATTTTTACCATTCTGCAGTTATATAACGTTGTTATAATAAACGTAATATCCAATAAGCAAGAAACATTAAATTAATCTTATAAAACATTGATTTTATTTTATTTTAACCCTCCATCTGTAATAGGAAGAAAAATTGTAGATTGCAGACCTTGATTGAATTTCCATTATATTCAGCATCAGAGGCGTATAACACAAAATACAACCAAACACAATTTACACTTCAATAATTATTATGTATAAGATTTCACTTCACCTGAATTCTCTCTCTCTCTCTCTCTCTCTCAGTACTTAGCAGTAATGTTCATTAACATTTTCTGCCTCAATATGTGTCACACATAATTCTCGCTTATCAACACATCTCTTTCTTTCTCTCTCTCTCTCTCTCTCTCTCTCGTTCGTTCTCGCTTTCACTCTCATTCCTTGCACTCGTGTATTCATATATTCGTATAGTATTCGTCGATCGAAATGTCAGGTAAAAATCCGCGAAAAAATCCCCCAGTGCGACAGTATTCCGCACTTTACTCGATCGACGATCGTAGGGAGAAGAACTCCTCAGTGAAACGTTATTCGGAAACTCGAGGTCTTTTCCTAATCGAAGTTGCGTACGTAGGGAAAATCTTATAGATCCGAAAGTGGGGAAGTTTGACGCTTAACTGGTGACTTGGAACGTGTGAAGAGAGGAATCAGCGGCAGCGGTTTGTTGAATAAGAATTGAGAGGAGTATTTCCCCCTCAAAAAGTACAATAGTCTACATTGGTCGAAGTTCACAAGGGAGAGAATGCAACGAAAGGGTAAATGAATAAATCATTTGCATGATTTTCGTCGCGATATCAAGTGAAAATCGCGGTACTCGCGGCAAAATTGATGTTTCCTTAACGCGTGCGCGAAGCGACGCGCCTGTATGTACGTGATAACACGATAATGATTGATAAGTTTACGATAGCGCCGTACAAAGTTTCAGATCTATCTCCAAACACGCACATTCTCACACACTTGGACTTTTACACGCAATATTATTGACATTTATTTATTTTTTTTGCTTTTTTATCATATAACATTTTATAATCCGACCGACCACACAAGCATGAGAAAAAGGAAATTACGACTAACACTTTTCGAGGAAATCAGTACCCTCGTTGACGTCTCCTCAAATTCAGTTAAGAAAAAATGCCACTTTGAAACGCCTCGTGAAAATACTTTACATAAAGTTTTCAAACAAATTTACGGACAGGCAATCCTCGCTAAGATTTAAGACAGGCGTATCGCCGTTACGGAGAATACCAGTGTTGCTTCCCTTGCGTATTGAGATTGACAAGATTGAAAAAGAAAAATCTTTACTGACCAGTCACCAGTCGAGGGTCGAACCTTGTACATGTATCGACAGGCGGGGGCCGCGTTAAGGTGTTTCCCGTGAGTGAGTGGCAAACGTGCAAATATTCTAATTAACACCACCGATTGCATAAATACCAGCCTCGATTAATGCATCTAGAACGCTTAAATAATGATCTAGCGAACGGGAGCGGAGGAAACAGGTGTCTCCCCCTCCCCCTCACGCGGATCGTTCTTTTTTTCTTCTCTTCAAGCTTTCGAAGCCGACGACGACGAATTTCTAATATGGTGACCTTCTACTCTTCGTCTAAGACGGACAGTATTACGCGACCTTAACGCGACCGTGCCGACAAAGGAAACACATAGCTCTTGTCGAGAGGCGGCTTTTTGCGGAATATTTGCCGCGAATATAAACCTATCGGCACCTCGGATCATCATCATCGATCGGGATCAAATTTACCGGACAAATAACACAAAGTCTCCCCTCCTCCGTCCTCCGCTCGTCCCGATCGCGAATGTATGGGGTATCCGTCGAAGAAATTGGTGGCGAGCTCGTAGTCGATCGTTTTCTCCGGACCGTTTCCTCGGTCTTCCGTAAATCTCGACAATGCGAATGTAACTCGGTAACTACGAATTTCAACACTCGGATACCCGCACACAAGGCATAGCGCGATCACCGAACGGTTCTCCTTCGCTTACGGATTCTTCAGTGAATCGATTTCTCCGTCCTCGGAAACATCGATGGTTTTACGTTTACTTTCCCGTATAATGTTTCTCTCTAAGCCTCGAATGAAAACATCCTTGAGGTAAAATCCTAGTATTCGGGTCGGAGAATCACGGCTTTGCTGGCCAGGTGCCGCTTAGAAATTTCATCGTCCAGGAGAACGCTGTGTTTTCAGTTTCTCGGGAATTATTAGAGCCGCGATATTTTCTATCTCTCTTTCGGAAAGAACACACTGATTTCAAATTCAATTCATCGAAGAATTCGCAGGTGAAAAGACATATCCGATGATGATTATTTTATATATGTGACACTAAAGGAGAAGGGAACCACGTTCTTTTCCGCCAGTTTCTTAACACGGGCGATACGTAAGAAAAAATAGGAAACGAACGTCGAATTTTTTTTTGCAAATTCGTACATTTTTACACGTTTCTATTCGGTCCTATCTGACGAAAGAAAGGACCTCCCTCGGGACACCGATTTCCCAGACCACCTTTTACACCGTACTCTCCTGCACATCTCCCATACACCGCACCCCGATTCCTCGAAGGAGCAATATAATGGCAAACTCGCGTTTAGAATTTTCTTCTTTCTCTCTTTTTTCTTTTTTTTTCTTTTTTTTGAGGGGAGTCGGGTCGCATCAGTAACTACGGTCATTAGCGCGCGCTCTCCTTTTCTACCGGTTTATACATCTACTACATACGACTTTCCTAATTTCTACGGTTTCTCTCTCTTTTATCATGCATGCGTCTCTGCTCTCCGTACTTTGACTACACTTCGCGTGGGAGACGACACGCCGTCGGAACGGGAAAAAAAAACGTAACTTTCGGCTGTACTATCCCAAAAAGCGCGAAATATCCCGTGGACGTTCTGTAGACGTCTTTAGAACATCTTCAGAACATCCTCAGGATGTCCCGAGGAGATTTGTGCTGTCTGGGATGCGCTTCTATCAGCGATGCCCGAAACAGACGCAATTTCGCCGAAGATTCAGATTACGATATTAAACAGAGAAGAAAATATATGATCTCTCTCTCTCTCTCTCTCTCTCTATGTCTCTTTATACGCAACAATATATAATCACGAGAATTGATGCGGGATTTATGCCCGAGTATTTGCACTATCAGAGACTGAATCGGCGGAATTATGCCAGTTGCGAGTCACAGTCGCTTGCATATTGATCGATCAACGGCGAAATATTTGTCTCCAAGTATCTCGCCTTCGGTCCATTCGTACAGCCGGAAACGATTGTTCCTTCGAGTCGCATTTCTCTTACATTCCTCGCTGACTTTTCAAGTGGTTTACAAGGTTACCTCGGAAAGTGGAACACGAAAGGAAGAAGGTGTGCCGCTACGTGAAACAAAAGGACGTTTGATAGGTTTCCTCGCGAGGGGCCTCTCTTCCTCTCCGTGCAAAAAGGGCGATTATTATAGCGCGATCGTCACATCGGGCATCGGGCTCGATTGACATATTGCGGCTCGCAGTGACTGAGAGGTGTCATCGTTGATGTATCCCCGCTTATCTACAAATACGATTACCACGCTGCGACTCTCATCACGTTGTGTGCGTGCGTGTGCTTTCCATATTCATGTCAAATTAATCTTTTTCGTGTTCTATGTACATTACTCTCGCTCGGCATTTCATACAGACATGTTGTGTTCCTCGCTAACGTTAGTCCGTTAAACGGACGTTAGAGATACGCACGCAGGACACCGCATGCAGGACTCCGCACGCTTTGCTAACGACAAACGTGGCAAACGTGAGAAAAGTGATCACCATCGAAATTACTTGTTTTTTCTCTCTCTTTCTCTCTCGTTTCGGAAACATATTTCGCTGCTTTCGTGTGCGCGAGAAAGAAAGAAAAGCGTTTTAACGAAGACGAGTGCGCACACACACTGGGAACACCTTTCTCACGTTTCACAGTCGAACAATCGCGCTGCGAATGTGGTACATACGCAGTCGCACGCGCACATTAATACACTCACACACACACACGCGCTCAACGCAACGCTCGTGACGTCTACGACATTCCCTCCGGTTAAAATGATCAGTTAATTGTCTAGTATGTTACAATCAGGCACCGTCCGCAGTATTGGGCCGCAAATATAGAGATACCTTAAGCCTTAAGCCTATTAAATCAATAATTAATCGTAACGTTAACAAACGGTAAAGGTAGTAAGAGCGTAATGCAATTCTTAATAAATCACCGGGTTCGAATGTTCATCGTTTCATCGCTTTATACACACTCGTCCCGCTTAGCTCCTTTCGATCTTTTTCCTCTCTTCCTTTCCTCTTCCAATCGCATCGCGTGTCTTTCATCACCTACAATCGCCTTGTTATTGTTACCTCAAATTCACCTCGACACGTGCGCGGACATAATCGTGTGAAGCGATAACGATATGCTGTCACGTGTATAACACGTGAATTTGCCCCTGTGTGTGTGTTTTATATATATATGTATGTGTATATACATATATATATATATATATATATATACACACGTATATATATATATATAATTTACTTATGTGATGTAGACAATGTTACGTAAAATATAGTAAATACAAATCGAAACACGATTTATGTGGAGAGCGACGAGACAACTTTGTTCAATGAAGAGAAGAGGGGGAACGAAGGAGGAAGGGAAATGTCGCACGTACTTTTTCACCGAAGTCGCAATGACGGATGTGTGTGTGAGTGAATATGTGTGTGATTATTGTGTGTGCTCGATTCCGATTCCGCTCGAGGTGTATTCGTGCGCGATATTAGCAAAATCGTGTCATTTTCGCAATAAATTCACAAATCGCGACACTTTCTTCGAATTCGCAAATCGAGCTATTGATCGATCGTTGAATGACGATGACCTTTGGGGAAGGTATCAAGAACATTTGGATTGAAATGTCTTCAATCCGTCTCTCCTAGAATCTTTCAAAAGCCACCTAGTTATAATACACGGATTTTCGGTGTTGAGAAAAAGGATTCGAAACTTCAGAAACGGTTTCGGTCGAATTTGCGCTCCGCTTTTCCTTGAAAACAACATAGCGATATTTTGTCATATCTTTTTGTTTTCATTGAAATAAAAAAATATACCTAAACTTGAATCGGGAATAACATTGTTGTGTCTAGAGTTTATAAGAGATAACTTATAAAGAGCGAAAACGCGTTTACAAAAATTAATTCGGTCGGAAGACGCGCGAATCGAATTAAAAAAGTTGGCGAATCCTTTCTTCCCACAACACCCTTGATAATAATATATTTCGAACGGGGAAAAAGAGAGGATTCAGTAACATGACAGTGACTTGGAAACAAGGGAAACGTAATCTTTCGCATACGAACGAGGAGGATCCCCGCTACGTGTTCGAATTCGGACAAGACACATCTTACGCTCGATTAAGACGACCGACGGAAATCGGGGAATTAAACTCGCGTTATTTTGGAGTCTTGCTTCGTTCCTTTCAACAGGCTTTCGAGTTGCAATGTTATACTCTCAACTGTTAATGCTTCTTTTCTTTTTTGTTTTGCGTATTAGAAGAAATAAGTGAACATATTTCCATTCTTAGTCGCGCCACATCGTAACGTTAATTTGAACGACCACCTGAAGAAAAATACGACGACAGTGCAACAAATCCTCGCTCGATATCTGCAATATCTGTCGATTTTACGTACGCACATGTTTATTAAGATAGGCTGAAAGTACAATATATATTCGCTTCATCGGAGCGTCATCACGCAAGGACTCTCGCAATGCAGATACACATCCAACGGGAAGAGGGGAGTGTCTGGCTTCTCCCCTCAATTCCTCATGCATTTCGCATTATGTAAGGCAGTTAGGTGCGTCTTGCTCGCTTTGTTTCAGGTCTAATTCGCGGGCTGCGACTGACTACGCACGGTACAAAGTATACACACAGAGTCGCGACACAGTTATTTAGAAGAACACTCGGTTTAAACGTTTACATTACATCGGCTACAGATAAAAGACGAATAAAACATCCAGGAGGGGTTGCTCTTTGGGTGTATCCTTGCCCTCTTGTTCAACTCGATCTCGAAGTTCTTCGATTTTGCACACGGAAAATAAGAGCTCTGAAAGTTCAGTGCTATTAGCACAACGACAAATTTACGCACTGAGCGCACTTTAACTTCTTCGTTCGTTTTATCCTCATGTAAATTCTCATGCTTATGTGAGCAATACACGCGATCTTCGTAGAGATCCTTTTTTTTCTCTTTCTTTTTTTTTGTCAGAAACGCTACACGGTCTCCGCAGAACCACATCTTGAGGATTTGTAATTCGGAGAGAAAATTTCAACAGCCGTGACAGATTACGATATGCGACAGCGAGCATGCAAGGGAGGGAGAGAAAAGGGAGAAGAAAATGGTACTCGAAGAGAGAGAAACACAAGTAACGCTTATATGTACGAGCATCTCGGAGAAGTCTTCCACTCCCGGCAGAAACTTTACAAATGCATCCGTATACTTCGACATAATGTTTCTTTTCTTTCTTTCTTTTTTGCGTATTAGAAGAAATATAACTAAACATATTTCTACTCAAAAATGTAAAATGCACTTGTAAGCTTTCGACAAAATTCAAACAGGAACCAAGGATTGTGATCGTGATCGATCCACGATGAGAGATTTTATCCTATGCTCCTTCAACATGTAAGTATATATATATCTCCCAAACCTGGTCTTAGGCGGGGGAAAGAAACGTGTACGAACGCTGTAATTATTTTAAAAAATATGCCTTAAAATGGAGTGATTGTGTATAAATGTTATATAATGTTAAATGAAACTTTATTCTTCAAAATTCTCCGTAATTATATATAATATACAATTACATCGCGATATACAAGAATCTGAGAAATAATAGTTAAACACAGGTATTTAAATATTAGTAATTCAATCGTTAAATATTGCGTTCAATATAAGCGTCAGATTAAGTATTCTGCGAAATATTAATTCATTATTTATAATTATTAAATGTAATCCCTCCACTTTACGACACCGACGTCTTTTTCCGGCAGCGTAAATATGCCGAGGGATGGTCCGCTAATGCTAAATTTTATCAGATCACGCGCGCAGGTCTGACAGGTGATTAAATGTATGTTTGAAAAGTAGTTCCAATGCATATTCATCTTCAATCATTCGTTCGTTAATGTGAAACTTTGAAACACACTGAGCGCCACGAATCCACCACCTGAGCCGAATTAAAAAGATAACGAAGAAGTTCGCACAGAACTGCAGGTGATTTATTTCCTTCGTACATCGTACCAATGATTTATTATTGTTTGTAAAGCATACACAAGGGTCTACTATAACGAGAATTATATTCTAAATAGTCGTCTGAAAAATATGCAGTATCGTTGTTCTGCACCACAGTTTATCATACCATTCCTCACGACCATCCTTCATTTATCTGTAATAATAATTATTTCGTGTACCATTTTCCACTATTAGCGCGCCGGAGAAAGTTATTACTTCTGATGAAGGTTAGAACCATTTTGTAAGCGTTAGTATTACGGACCAACCCGGGCAATTTCACGTGTCCGTGTAATCCCTACTTGTGAGGAGGGAACGCGCGCGCGTGTGTATGTGTGTGTATGTGTTTGAAGCGTCTCGGGAGGANNGGGGGGGGGGGGGGGGGGGGGCATTAACGGTTGATTGTTCGATATAATTTATAATTTACGCCGCGTGTGTATATGTGTCTCAACAATGAAGTGTGTCTCTCTCTCCCGTTTGTGCTTCATTTGTCTCGCGACGCAACAACGCAAAAAACGTGTTTACAGCAACGTGTTCACAAGTACAATTTCGAAAGAACTTCGTTCCTCGACCCCTTTTCACCCCAGGTTCACCCTCTCTCGCGCACGGGTTTGCGCCATTCTCCGACACGACCGGCCGAAGTGAAATAACGCTATGATGCCGCTCCGCCTTAACAAGAAGCCTTTTTATACAGTAACTCGGCTGTTTGCGAACGCCTGCTCTCGCGTTTCACAAGCGAACGAAGATGACGAAGAAACGACGCCGTGTCGTGTAGTCGCGTAATGTCAGCGTGGAAGAACGTGGCAAGACTCGCTCTTTCGAAGGGGGGAGGGGGTACACACTACACACGCGAACGAACCGTTATATTTTTTTTTCCGAGCATGACTGCAAAGAAGTGTGTGTGTGTGTGTGTGTGAAGTTATGTACATCATCGTTATTACTCGCGCAATATGCCGAAGTTACGGCGGATATCAGCAGCGGCCCTTGCCCTTGTTCCATGTCACGTAAAACAGCAAAGATGAAGAGCGAGAGATTAAAGATTCGGAAAAGTAGTAGTAAGGGCGTGTGTGGATGAAGAGAGGAGAGAGGGCGTTCGAATAATTATTAATATATAATATTATAATAATAACAATAATGATGAGGTGTTCTAAACAGTGCTAAGACTAGTGCTAGGGGGTCCTGTGGAGGAATCAGGGGTGGATGGGTACGGGGCTAAGGAGGGGTTAGTGAGGGGGCGGTGGTTCCGTCGATTGGTTTCTGCCGTCTACAGCCCTAACCGGCTTCCTACGTGAAGAGCCCGTCACTCCGACCGAGCCGACTCCACCTCTGAGATAAGCGGGCGCTGGAGCTGCTATCGGTTCCCGGATAGTTCCAGTACCGGTATTCCTAATTGGTGGCGGCAGTGGTTGCTGCAAAACCTGTGGCGCGTGTCGCCACGCCAGAAACGTCCGCATTAAAGATATATACGTCTGTTCGGTGTAACAAGATACGCGTTTATTCTGCGATCGCCACGTCATGTATCGCGCGTTAATTATCATCCGGAACTGGATGTAGCGTGTCTGGAAATAGCGCTGGAGGCGAGAGGCGAACTTCACGGTCGGTTTTGGTGCTGTCTTTCGCGAGACAGCGAGACACGCCGTGATAAATGATAGAGATAGAGAGAGAAAGAGAGAAAAGTTTCCGCGTAACAACACATTTCCGAGTCAAGTTACATCGAGTTCCTCCACTGTGTGTTAGCGCGAATCGCTCTTTCTCATCTGGCTCGTGTGCCTTCGATTGATTCAGATAAAAGTGAGCGAGCGAGCGAATCTCGAACCGTAAACTGGTAAATATTCTATCGTGATTGCGAGAAGAAAAGACGAACACTCACCAGTGGCTGAGGTAACACACTATGCATCAGAGTTTGAACTATAGGTGAATTTTGCGTCGCAATGCTGTTAGAATTCGGGGGTAAGCCCTGATTTGGTAGAGCGGAGCCTACACTGCCGGCGGCAACGGCCGCAGCAGCGGCAGCCTGTAGGATGTGCGATTGTTGCGCAGACGCCTGTGTTACGTGCTGCTTATTCGTCGCTTGATCCCTCTTGGCTTCCTGAGCTAAACTCAATTTCTTCGTGGAGACGATGGAAGTATTAGCGTTCGGTGTTTCGGGGCTGGTAGTGGCAGTAGTTGCACTCGATGCCGGCGTTTGCACGGTGCACTGCTGTTGAAGCAACTCTGACAATGTTTGGGAAAGCGTCCCGACAATAAGCTCGCGTGCGAAAAGGCTCCTGTTTGCACTTTCGCGCTCGATATTTTGCAGTTGCGAATCAGACAGTGTGGTTGTAATGCATCTGCACAAATGTGGAGAGGGGCAATCAAGTCTTAATCAAATAATTTACTACGTTCGTTCCGTCCTAACGGTTACAACTCGCTTTCGACCGGTGTATGTGTGCGTGTGTGTGTTTTATATATGTTACGTCGTTCACTTTTTCCTGCAGTTGTGTGTGTAGATGCTTAATCGCTTAACCACGCACAACTCGACGCGCGCGCATTGAGAAAGTATATATGTGATCGGATATACCTTGAGAGGCGGTGTATCGCCAAAAATAAGTACTTAGATATTTATAATGGTGTTTTTGGCAACAGCTTGCAACACGCAACTTTCTAGGTTACACGCAGGATGAAATATTTTAAACAAAGCGATCGAACATCTTGAAAAAGGAAATTTTCAGGAGGAAAACATTCTCAGACGAAACTTGGAGAGCGTCAAGAGGAATAACTTTTGGCATTATTCTTTCTTGCGTAGCAGACAATTTTCAATGTCATTTCAAGGTCAGCTTTATTTTTTTTTTTTCGTACGCGCAAAAAAATGCTACACATCCAAGTGGACGGAAAAAATGAGTAAGTACAAAAATAAAACACAAAGTTGCGTCGGCAAACAATTGTGAGTGACTTTCCCCCTGTATTATCTTTTCTCGCATTATTCTACTTTAAACGTCTTAGTGAAAGCTACAAATTAACATTTTGCAAAAATAAAGGGTACTGATAAGAATTAACTAAATAAAGCAGTTGTACACTCTTAATGCTTAATTTAGCAAACTTTCTAACTTTTATAATTTCTTTTCCTTAAGTTATTTATAAAGTTTAAATTTGTTTGGTGGAAAAATTAATTCAATATTCGACCGAAATGTATATTTTTGTCGATACTTTGCACTTTTCCCTCTACAGATTCTCTCATATAATTTTCTTATCGATCAGATTATTTGTAAAGTATCAGTCAAAATATCTTTACAAAATGCGTTTATATATATACGTTAATATTAGTTACAGAATCTATTTTATTTACTACATTTCTGAAATATCTATGAGGATATAAACGTAAAGAAGGCATACCTGGGTAACAGGAACGTGAAGTTCTGCGAATTAGTAGAAGACACACCGGACGGGTTGGCCACATTAGTCGCATTATTGTTACTACTCGTACTATTTGCCACCACGCTAGCCATTGTAGCAGAATGACCACCACTACTACCCCCACTGCCACTCACTGAACCGATCACTTGCGTCTGCCTCCTAGGTAATCGTTCGAGTTGTTGTCTAGCAGCCTACAAATAATACTCCACTTTAATAACTGTTCCACTCGACGTCACAGAATTGTTAACCCTTCTGTCAATGTAGTTTTTTGTCAATGTAATTTTTCATCTTCTTATCAATGCACAGAAGGGTTAATCACCCAGCATGCAAAATCGAATGAGGACATATGTATATAATTTGATAAATCTCTCTCTCTCTCTCTCTCTCTCTCTCTCTGCAATTTAATTCATACTTTAAGCTCAAAGGACATTGTCCCAGAGCATTAACACGTTGAATGCTGCGCCAATTTCACGTGACTTTCCATTCACGCCGTTGTGGGATCGATAATCCACAATTACCGCATTTATATTATATTTTTATTATATATCCTTATAAGATATATCCAATAATATTTACAAGACTACAAAACTATCACTATTATATATGAAAGCGATAGGTAACGTAAAATACATGTTATGCAGTTTGAATGGAAAGTTCAGCGTGGGCCAATACGATGACTCACACGGCGCTTAATATATTAATAAACTTTTACTCTCTCAATACTGAATCCAGCCATTTAATAAGATGATTTCCCTAACGTCATTAATCGATGCCGAAGTTAAACCGGCATTGTTTTATATATATATAGTAGTTAGATAAATAGTGCACGTCTTTATTAGTTTATTGATTGTAAAAAAAAAATTGTATATTGAGTTCTATAATTTTTTTGTTTTTCTTTAGTAAAATATTAAATTTGCTTGTACCCGAACTTGTTGTCGTTCTATTTGCAGCTGCATCTGCAATTGCTGTAGTTGCGTAGGTGCCGAAGAACTCTGTCCACTTCCACCTCCACTTCTACGTACTCCCGATAATTGAGACAATAATTCTGCGATGGGATCTATACCTTCCCGACTGCTTGGGCTCAATCCTCCAGATGAACTGAAATGCATGTTGGACCTGCAGGTCCAATGATACTCCAATGAACATTATCTAAGATGAGGTGATGATGAACGTTAATTTCGATGTGTTTTCATGTACAACACTTTATTTCTCTCTGATTTAAACATTCCGATAACGATTCCACGATATCGGGATTACTTTATTCTAAAATTCAGTGCTTCTTTCAGACGAATTACAGGCATCTCCGCTTAACATCAATAGTTTGTTCTTAAAAATACCAACTTTAAACTGAGGAAATGTTAATAGTGAATTTACATTAATTTTATTAATGAAAAAAATTGAATGCATTTCCTCCATCTCTACTCACTATTGATTTTCATGCAAGTCAGTAACAAACAGTAAAACATCTGGAATGTAACAATATATTATCATAAGGTTTAAAATGATGTTGGTATTGACACAAGTTTATTAACAAAAAACAGATATTAATACAGCTGAAAATAAATAGACAATGTAATATGATCATTTACGATATGATATGACAAAAGAAAAGCGAGAAGAGAAAAAGGAGGAACAAAATAAGGAAAAGAAAAAATGTCGGGTTGATTATAAAGACAAATGAAGTAATAATACAAAAAGGGTACTCACCAGAGAGCTATAAGAAATATTTACCAATAACCGAACACTGGCAAAAATTGGAATGTTAAAGTCAAAAGTGATATAAAAAACCGAAAAGTATTATGACGGAAAAACCGAGTTAACCGAGCCGACATTATGCAGGGGAAGCCTGTACTCATTATTCCAACACGTTATATATATTGGATATAATATTATCCTAAAATTTTATCAAAATAATATTTCTAGATGATTCATAAAAGTAAAATTTATAGGTGTGATATAATTGTTACATATGGCAGCACATATGACAATTATAAAATCTTGGAAAATTATTTTAACATATATATTGTATATACTGAGATTTGCGAAAAAACATATATAAATATCACGTATATTAACACTTCGAGGACTGATGTCCGCAAGCGTTGGTTAGACAGAGGCATTAACTTGTGTCCCGGTCCCCAAAGTATTAATGTTGATGGGTGAATATAAATCATTCGATCAATATTCGCAGTTTTTTTTACATACCTACGTGCACGTGGTGCACCAACAGCTCTAGATGGATGCGGTATCCGCCTAACATGTCTACCTGCTGAAGGGTCATCTAAAAAGGAGATCAAATCCCTTGGTCCACTCCGATGTTCCAATGTCAAGTGACCAGCAAAATCATCAGTTACATGATTGGGATCTCCACCTGGCACCGCTGCACACACTGGACATACCTGGACGTAGCAAGGGCAAAATGATTGTTACATATTTACATAACATTGCACGGTTGAATATTACAGCAATAATATTAATAAACATAAAATTATTCATCTTTTTTTTTTCATACGTACAACTTCAAACGAGGTATCTGGATGATCAGCAGCCACATGTTCTTGCAATGTAGCCTCGGTGAAACCCATTCTTGTACAGTACGGGCAAGTCAAAGATTGAGGTTGTTCCACACTCACTCCTTCACCACCATAGTACAATTCTATTGGAAAATCAATCATTGAGAATGTATTAAGAAATATTTGACTGAAAAATGTAACTTCTTTCATCTATGATTAGAGAAAGATTAGAATTATAATACTTAACCCTTTGCACTCGAGGGCTCCGGAGCGGAGCCATTTAAAATTTGTCTTCAAACTCGAGGGCTCCGCTATGGAGACAATGCAAATAGCAAGAGCGGAATATCCTATATACAATAGTTTTTATGATTTGTCTTTGTCTTTATGTTATGAACTGAAAGTTATTTGCATTGTCTCCATAGCGGAGCCCTCGAGTTTGAAGACAAATTTTAAATGGCTCCGCTCCGGAGCCCTCGAGTGCAAAGGGTTAAGTAAGAAAATTGCATAATATATACTCTCCATAAATATCTATAAATCTTGACGTTTCCAAAAAGATGTACCAGCTATGTATTTAAAGCTAAATTTGACAAAATGTTATTTTTCAAACGTTTTTATTTGTTAATGTGCCATACTGGAACTAATATTGCTTGTTTAATATCAATACTTAAAGCATATAAGTCCTGATCTGCAATAGGTGCTTTAAGCTTTAAGCCTTAAGAAATTGATCAATCACAGTTAAATGTGAAAAAAATAATTAATTGTGATTAATTTCTTAAGGCTTAAAATACCTATTTTAGGTTGGCACTAATGATATATTTCAAGATATTATATAAAATTCACTATCATTTTCAACCAAGTAATGTTATGTTATAATTTTCTAATAGTAAGTGTACATGTGTGTATGTATGTGTGTGGGGTATATGCCTCTTCCTCACCGAAGTCAGATCTGGTAAGTATGCACTGCATAGGATGATCTGTGAGGTGGCGTGTAGTACTAGCGCCTCCCTCGTAGCAGCTGGCACATAGATCATAATCGTAGCATACCAGGCACTTGTATCTACGACCTTCAAAATTTCCCTTCAAGCAGGAATCGCAGCTTACTCCTGAAATAAATATATTAAATTAATATAGTGCACATGAATATGCTCAATACAACATAACATGCCTTGCAAATCATATGATTTTTAAATATTACTCTTTTTTGTTCTGATTTACACCATGTTCCATAATGCATTAATCGTTAAAGAATATCTTGCATATTATTTTGTATATAGATAGCATATTATCTTGTATATGCTATCAGTTATATTTTAAGTATTTTAAGAAAAAGTAGCCCAACAAAATATTAAAAAAACTTCCTGGACAATGTTAAGTTACCAGAAAATGCTCCTAAAATATCAGTAAATTAATACATAATATAGAGAACACAATGGACTAAATTGACACGATTGACTGTTTTGAATTTCGGACATATAATTAAAATAAATTTTTCTCCATTTAATATTTTTTACTTGTTAATCACATTATATAAAGCAAGAACCAGATAATGCTCCTAACTTGTCAATAAGAAGTTACCGCATTAAAATTCAGATGACTATAAAACTATAAATAGCAACATACAGCAAAGCGAGTCATAGTCTTGCAACAATGGAGAGGAAAACTCGAGAGACAATATATGTTATTTAAATAATAAATGCACAATAACTGATTTAGATCAATCAAAATTATATATATATATATATATATATATATATATATATATCACTCCCCCCCTCTCTCTCTCTCTCTCTCTCTCTCTCACATAGTTCTCAATATATATTATATGAATAACTGATCAATTTTCAACTTATTGATCAAAGACTGATATTAATATAATATGCAACATTTAATTTGCAATTAAACATTGTTGCATGTGGAGATAATGATATCTAATAGAACTCTCGAGTGAATTATATCTGTTATTTCTGTATCACACACAGAAATGACAATTATATAACAAATATAGCATGCACTATTCTTCAAGGAATACAACTTTACGATATTATGCCCGAAGAGCACAGATCTCCTCATTACAAAAGTATGCAAGGTATAAACTCATCGATCATAATTCCAAAAGCCATTCAAATGCCACACGACTCGTACAGAAATGTTATTTCGATTGACACATATCAAGTACAGCGGTGGTGTTGTGGTCTCTCTCTAGAAGCCAGCGGAGAGCAAGCTCGCAGCACAAAGACACATGAATAAGTTGTTGTGCAAATCTTTGTTCGACCTAAGCCTAAGCCCGAATAGTCTCATGCGGGAAAAGCCGCGGTAACGACGGAGAAAAGTCTGCAATATGTTCTGCCAGAGAAGAGTGTCATCATCAGGAGCAGGTGAGGGGGGTATGACTACCAGGAGACGCTTCTGGGAGAGGAGTCAGCTGGTGGAAACGATCTGACAGCTAATCGGACGCGGTGGTGAGCGCCCGGACAGCAGGCCCGGGGCAGCGCGAGACCGCCTGAGGATTCCCCGGAGGAGAGATCGTCGTGCGAAACGTCGCAGATCCGCAGGAATTGGCATGAATCTCGGTGCCGTGCTGCCATCTAGCCTCTGACATCAGGTCCCCTCGGTTCTCTCGGCGAGACTCGCAGGATGTGTCCCGTATTAAAGGGATACCATCTACCTGCAGCCCGAGTCCGCCGAGACTCGGACTCCCGGTGGTACGCTCACTCTCTCTCTCTCTCGCATGCACGATGAACCTCACGCGCACCCCGTCCCGCGGCCCGGCGTATATAATTTTCCGCCCTGCGTCTGCCCGATCACCGCGCGACTCCGCCGCTTCTCCGATCAGACGCAGCACACGTACGTACGTACCTTCATGTCGACTCATTTTCCGTTTAAAATCTCATATATCGCCGATGCAGGCGCGGACCACTCGCGATCGTGTGTGTTGCACGGTCTGTGCCTCGAGAGCGCTCGGCTGCTGGCCGTCAATCACCCGCTCCGTAGGAAGTGCTCTCTCTCTCTCTCTCTCTTAGCGCGTCGCCTCAGCACGACGTACGCGACGTATGCGAAAACATCAATCGTCAAACAAAAAATTTTCGTCGTTAGAATTCCCAGCGTAAAACCTAACCCAACTGGGCTGACGACGTGACGTCACGCTAGACGACCTACCTACGCTCCCGGTGAACGTCGGTGAACGTCGCGCGTTGTGCGTGTGTATCTCCTCGATCTCTGCCCGTCGCAACGTCGCGACGTTGCCGCGCGTATCCGACGCCACCGGCCGCGGGAGATACGAATTCGCCAGTCAGCCAACGGAATTTCGAACGGCTGTCGTGCGGCGAAGCGATCGGTCGTCTCTCACACGTTGGCAGTCGCGCCTCCTGACACACACGCGGGGTTCGTTCGCGCACCGAGGAGTGGAAATCGGCCAGAATCCTGGCGAATCCAAATGTATGTCGAGTGTGCTGCGCTGTTTCTCCCGTTTCTTTTACGGCGTATTCTCGGAATGCAAAAATTTGTACGATTCGCGAAAATGTAATATACTCGTAACACTGTTTGAAATATACAAGTATGGAACTTGACTCGAAATAGTTCCCGAAGGGAACGGAGAGCTTTGAAATAAGTGTGGTCAACAGTGCGACGAATATGTTTGAGTTTTACCGCAAATACACATGTTCAACTTTAGATGTGCCTGTTTTATTATTTACTTGGCTGGTTTGTCACACGGAACGAAATGTTACCGAGTTCTCGCGCGATCAACGAATTGACAAGTTCTTGCATTACCGTATCGGACGTTTTCAAATATTTCCACCATATTCCAAACGAAGTGCTCCATCTGGTGCGAGTTCCGGCCGTAAAATAAAATAATCGGATCGCAATCTATCGAATATATAGTTCATGACGAGATCTGGCAATCTGGCACTCCTTTCACGAAATCTTCCGAGAGTCGTTCCCGTACGCGTTCGTATCGTTCCGCCGACAGTCGCGGAATTCCGTATATCAGATCTCGCGAAATCACGTCATTTATCGAACAATGGCCACGGTACTCGGACGTGTGATTGTGTACGGGGGCAAGGGTGCCCTTGGCTCTGCTTGCGTATCGCAATTTAAATCGCAAAATTGGGTGAGTAACGGAACCCGCGAGTGTCGTTACCCTCGACATCCAATATGCACAATTGATCGTACGGCCATTATCGACCTACCGGTCTTATCAATATATTGCATAAAATTCGATTACAAAACTGTCACTTTATGTTATTCGGCGTTTCGAAATATTTCATTAAATAACATTATATATATATAAAATTATATATTGTGAATATATATAATAATAAAAAAAGATGAAAGTAAAAATGTACAGTATAAATAAAAGAAGTAATATAAGAGATATAAAAAAGTGTAATCGTTGGTTTTATCAGTGATTTGTATGACTGTTAAATTGTACGATTAGTATTTATTTTTTCTTAATTGTGCTATTATTAATCACAGGTATGGATTTATAAGAGATTTATAAGTTATTTAAATAATAATATTTACATATTGATAGTTGCCGGTTAAAAGCAACTGACCTTGAATATAAATGTCTTTATACAAGATTCTTTCTTGGATAAGTAGGTAATCTGATGGATATTGCATAAAATTATTTATCAAGGCTATTGCCACCAGTCAAGCAAGACCTTTCACATTGGTTTTTTCCACTATGCACCTGTGTTAAATGCATTTTTTAAATAAACCATATATTTCACACTAAAATCAAAATATTTATATTATGTATTTATTTTATATTTTTTATGAATAAACATTTGCATGAGTAGATACATATATATGGATCTCTTAAACAAAATTCTAAATTATAACATTTCTGAGTTCTATTATTTTTTTAATGTTCATATAAAAAGTTACTCATTATATATATATATATATATATATATATAATGAGTAACTTTTATATATTTTTATATATATTTATATTTATTTATTTATTTATTCATTTATATTTATATGTGTATGTATGTATATATATATGATATTGTTGACATTAACAATTATAAAAAAGAAGATTCTTTTGTTATAATATGCTATATAGAGCATTGTCTTTTGATATTTAACATTTTGATAATATATATTATGTTTTATCATTGTAATTTTTAGTGGGTTGGTTCCATTGATATGAAGCCAAATGAACAAGCTGACATGAATGTGATTGTAAATCCCGAAAATGACTGGCAAAAACAGGTAATTTTTTATCATTCGCAGGGTTATTATCAATTTGTGAAAATAGTATATATGAACGTTAATTAATCTCTTATCATATAGCAAACGGATATCCTGGCTCAAGTTAAGGATAAGTTGAAGGATGAGAAAGTTGATGGTATCATTTGTGTAGCTGGAGGATGGGCTGGTGGCAATGCGGCGAACAAAGACTTTGTTAAAAACAGCGATCTGATGTGGAAGCAGAGTGTCTGGAGTTCTATTGTAGCCGCGAACATTGCTGCTGAATATCTGAAGGAAGGAGGATTCCTTACGTTAACTGGTGCTAAGCCAGCATTAAAGGGGACACCAGGTCCTTGTCAAATTGAAATATGCAGTATTATTATGTGCCTCTTACTCATGCTTGCTGAAATATCAATTCCACTTGATCAGGTATGATTGGTTATGGTATGGCGAAGGCAGCGGTTCATCAGCTGACAAAGTCTTTGGCAGATAAAGACAGCGGTCTTCCCACCAATAGTCTGGTAGCTTGTATACTACCTGTTACTTTGGATACACCAATGAACAGAAAGTGGATGCCCAAGGCTGATACAAGTACATGGACTCCGCTCGATTTTGTCTCGAAGTAAGAGGGGCAAGATATTTCTATATTAAATTAATATATCTCTTAATGTAATGGGATTTTAAAAATTTATTAATTTGAAAATTTAATAATTAAAAAATATAAATCTAAAAATTTATGTCTGTCCTTACAGTCTATTTTGGAAATGGTCTCAAAATCAAGATCGGCCTACCAACGGTTCTCTTCTGCAACTCATTACAAAAGATAATAAAACGGAACTGATCACAGCTTAAACGTATCAAATAAATGAAATTCGTGGGAACAAGGATCTCTGAGCATTTATGACAATACAATAATATATACATTTCGTTTTTATTGTTACCTGAAGGACAGGATCGTATAGATAGGTTCAGAGCAAGTCCTCGAAATAATCCTTATTTTGCTATAAAATATGTCTTCATCTGTGTCCTCTTCCTGCATACACATTCCACTAAGAAATATATTTTATATATTGTTATATATATAAAGATTATTTAATTGTTTGGAAAGACATTTTTCGTATAATGTATGTACTAAATACTCGGTTTATTTTATCGATGTGATATATATATATATATATATATTATATTGAAAGTTACAAAGAAAGTTCAAATGTGATGCATCTCATGTACTGTATCTTTTTAATGTAGATTTATCTTCCCATCTTAACATAGATAATAATTACATATATATATAAAGAGAAATTGCTTACCCTACTAAAGAAACAGAAAATGATGGTTGCCTTAATAGCAATGCATCTTTTAGTCTTAAAATACTACTATTTTGACGAATTTAAGTTATTAGGAATTTAGTTTACAATTTTAGAAATCTATCTCTATTAATCTAAATCTATTAATATGTTATATCAGTAATATTTACTAATCTAATTTTGATGTTAAATATTTAACATCAAAATTAAAAATGACAGATCTTTAATCATTTTTTCGGAAATCTAATAAAATTAATTTTCATGAAAATTTGAAATTTAATAATTGTTTCATTAAAAATCTTTTTATGATTCATTATATAATAATTTGGGAAATTAATATAGTTCTATAATTGAAAAAAAAATTAATATTTTATTATATTACAAAATGAATTTCTGTCCTAACTAACTAATACATTTCAAAGCAAGAAAACTCGATCGCCCGGATAGCTCAGTCGGTAGAGCATCAGACTTTTAATCTGAGGGTCCAGGGTTCGAGTCCCTGTTCGGGCGTTTTTTTTTTTTTTTTTCTATTGCTTTAAACTGGAAAAATATAACTTCGTTTAACAAATAATCTAAACCATATTAATTGCATCATATAGAAAACTTAATTATTCTTTTTAATAGATATGTGTATTGCTACACATTGTATATATATATGTGTGTGTATGTATATATATGTAATACATAAATTTCACAGATTTTTATTAGACATTTTTGTACAATATACGATTCATCGACTGATTTTAATGTTGAGATAATATGTTGTCTATCTCACAGATACATATACATTAACATTTTGTAACAATTACAATTGTTAACATACATACTAATATCAAACAAATTTAAGTAAATTTAAGCAGCGGGTTTGGCAGGATACAATAAATCCTGAATTATTTTTTGTTCCTCTGAAATACAGAAAATTTTCACATTTATATATCCTTACATTTAAAAATATTTATATAGTATTTTAAAATTATAGATATTTTTTTAATGATAGATTCTTACGTCAATTTAGAAAATTGTTTTATTAATACAACTTAATATTTTGTAAGAAATACATTATATATTTTTTCAATTTACATTTCATTGAAGAAAAATCAATTTATTTGACTTGAAAACAATTGTGGCTGATAAAAGACGCTATAGTTCAACCATATATAAAACATGAGACATATTTAATATTGTTATATTAAATAATAATCTACAACAGTATATTTTTTTAGAAATACATCTATAATCAAAAGTTTTACCTATCAATCTCAGCCTCCTTTCTTCAGCTAACTTGGCATCACGTATAGGTTTAAGTCTCAGCTCTTCTTCTCTGCGAGCAATTTCTTTTTTACTATATCTGCTCTGGAAGAATGCACCATATGCGATTCCAGTCAAGAGAAGACTCCAACGGCAGAACTGTGAAACACAAGCATGTACAATTAACAAACAAGTATTGTTTATGTATCATGTTATGCTAAAGAAAAACACCTATATATTAATAGTTTCATAAACTCAACTTGTAGAACAATTAAGAATAGCGATTTTACATGAAGCGTTAGTTAAGATGTATAGATAAATTATCATAAATTGATATTATACGAATTTTGAACACATTCTAACGAATGCATATTGGACAGAATATCTGGAATATGGACAGAAAAGTCTGGAGAAGGTTAGAAAATTAAATTAAAATCGTTGCATCGGAGGATTTTTTTCACTGAAAACCAAAGGTCATAAGTTGGCACGGCAATGGAAGAATGGTTGTTTCTCTCTTACGTATATTTATTATAATTCCATGTATCTTAACAAAATACAAAAAATTATGTAATGAAACCAGTCAATTTGACCGTCGAAAGATGATAAAAACTTAAGATCAGTCGGTTGCGAATGACAAACAGATTTTGTCAAGTAAAGCCAAGTATACAAGGAAGATACACGACAACGATATGTTTCGACAGACTGTCAATTTCACCTTGATAAAAGGAGAAACCCGCAGAGGTCTCGGATTCAGCTCGGCGGTCGACATCTTGCACACGGATGAAAGCCGCTCTATGCTCGTGTGAGTACTCGCGGGTGGCTCCATGTGATCACGGGCGCGCATTTTGATTGCGAATCGAAAGCGCCGTCTATTTACTCTCGTCTAACGTTTATTGGTCCGTAGTTTGTAAGTGATTTATTTATTTTTATATTAAAATTTTATTAGTTATCAAATCAACGCTTGAAATCGAGCACATTACATACGGATATTTAAATATATATAATAATTTAAATATATAATTTAAATATACAGTGGAGAGTTTTTGCAATAACGTTTTTCAGACACGGTAAAATGCATTATTTACTGCCGGCATTTCAAATCTATAGATACATAATAAACAAACTGTAAACTCGCAATACTGGCGGTGAATATCGGAACGCACTTTAGCGTTTGTTATATCTGAAAGACAGTATCGCAAAAACTTCCTACTGAGAAAAATAATTTGCTAACAAAGCAAATTTTACTATCGCAGCAAAAAATCTATCAGTTATTATGTGGATGGAAAAACGAATCATTAAGAATATTGCCATTCGCTTGGATTACCTTGCTGAATCTACTGATTGCTGTAAGAATAAATTAGTAAGTACAGAAAAATACTAGTTCGTTCTAAATAGCAGATTAACCTATTTTTCAAATTTGTCCTAAGAACAAATTCATTCAATAGGATATTCTTTTATCCTCGCGACAAAACTGTTTCCGCTCTGATTGCGAATAATCTGCTCATTTGGTTATGCCAATTAAATTTTATTTACTGTCGCAACGAATATGCAACGATATGATTTTGCCGCAACGGCAAAGTTATTTTTCTCCGTGTAAATGCGTCTTGTACACGAAAGTGCCGAAATCTAAGCGCAAAGGCACGCTCGAGCGGAAACTTTATGACACACGTCAAATTTGTATTCGTCCTTCGTGAAATATCTGCGACGTATCTTTTACTGTTCATTACATGCCAGCGTAGAGTGCCAGCGCGCGTGAGCGAACGCGCCAAATCGATCACGCACAGCCGTAAATGTAGCGTAGCGAATAAGTTACATAAATTATAAAATATCATTTTAATAACATTGTGTTACTAGTCATTTCCTGCTTACTGGGAATAACTGTGATTGGTCAAAACGTTTATGTGTGCATTCAACGTCTACAATGGATAGTAGGAGTATGTTTGGTATGTTTGGAAGAAGTGAGAGTAAGAAATTAACTGATCACAGCCGATTATTCTCCTTACTTTCGAACACGATTGGCCAATTTCTTACTCTTATTTCTTGCGAACAAACTCTTATTGCCCGTTGTAGATCACGCTTTTATGTGTCTCGGTTTTTCGTGGCGCCACGTGTCTTCGTCTTCCCAGCGAACGACCGAGTGAGACTCTCGCCTGCAGAGGTCGTTTCTCGCAGCGCTTCGTCCACTGGGAAGGGTGGGAAGGAGGCCGGCGAGGTTCGGTGCGCTCGGCAGTCGACAAGATGGCGTGGCTATGGCTGGTGGTGTCGTTCGCGTTTTCCCTGTTCCTGATGCCATTCCTCATGTTAGTGCTAGGGATCATATTCCTCGCGTCGATCGGCAAGTCGCTTGGCGTACGCCGGCTGTACATCAAGTTGCTGCTGGCGCTATTCGAGGTGAGTCGTTGAGGCAAGTCGAAATCGGCATGCCAACTTGCAGCGAATTTCTTCCTCACTTCGTTTCTCGATCTCTTGGGATCTCATTGTCAACTGGCGGCGCATCGTAGGGCCGTGCGTGCTCCCTCGACATACTGACGACTGATCGTCACCGATGAATCGTCGCGTATTCCTCGCCTACGCTCTTTGTCGACGCGTCTCTCTCTTTCTCTCGATCGTCGTCCGATCATGCCTACTCTCTTTCGCCGGAAGAGCCGTTTCCTGCGCCGTAGGTAGGTAGGTAGAAGCACGCGTGTGTGATACGAGAAGACGCGAGAATCGAGCAGTCCTTCACGGCGATGGCGTTACCTGCGCGATCGCGTCTCGTGTTCGAGTCGGGAGAGTACGTGATTTCTGGGCCGCGAGAATTTCGCGACGGAACTTCCCCCGCGGCCAGGGAAACGTGACGGGTGAAAAGACCAGGTAGAGCCTGAATATGCAGCATGCTTATGTACAGTACAATATAGGTAAATATTTGAACGTCGTCGGGGACAGCAGCGCGCATCTGCTTACCAGAAAACGTCAAGTATTTGGGTTTCTACTTGGCTCGACATAAAAATTGCGTAAAATTGCGGCACAAGTGGTGCGTGTTCTGACGGGAAGGGAGGAGGACACGCGCGATATCGACGCGAGAAGAAAGAGTTGCCGGACGCGCGCGAACTTGCGCGAAGAACTGAGCGTGAAATTTCCGGTCGGTCCGGCGAGTCCACGCACCGTTGCGAAATCTCGCGAGGTTTTAGCGACAAAAGCAGAACGAAATCACCGTTGATTAGCTCGGTATTAATTAGCGAGCGATTAAGCTCCTGTACTTCGTACCTGTTCGCGTTACTCGCTTCGCCGAGGCGTCGTCGTGACGAACCTTCGATCGAGAAACGCAGAGAGGTTGCGTTTTTTTTCTTTTTTCTTTGTTTTATTAATGTTACGTCAGCTGGATGTATTTTTGTAAAGCGAATGGATCACGGAAGGGAATTTCTCCTCGGGCTCGTCTCGGATGATCGATTTGCGATCAGACGCAGACGGTGATTGACCGGCGCGTTAAAAGCGGACAGAGCCGTGACCGCGGATGCACGCAGCGCGTAACTGTAATTTTAAGTGCCGAGAGGATGTTCCTCGCGTATTGCGATATATTTATGTACGACCACGATCGTAGAATCTTACTTGGTCTATCCGTACAGTTTCAATTAACGTGGCGCGATTAATGTAAGCTCACGGATGTTAGTGTTCGTCGAGTCTCGGCGGTCGATCGTGCATCTCAAGTTATGTAGTGAGAATGACAAAAGTGAGCGACTTTATTAGAATATTTTCCAGATAATTATAGATTATAATTTCATCGGTCAACATCCAGTAAATGCTTTCGTAGTTCTCATTGCAGTTTAAGACACACAATCGGCTTCTATTTTCAAATAATTCCACACACATACACACAATCGGCTTCTATTTTCAAATGATTCCACACACATACACACAATCACGTTTTTCCATGTTAATCGTGCGGCATTCGAACGAATGGGCCAATTATACCAACAAAAAATCGGCGTCTTCAATTTAAAACCGATCACCAAGTACTTTCTCCGCGTGAAAGATGTTTTATCTTTTGCGCGCTTTCTCTTGGTCGTAGGGTACTCGGAGGCTGAGTGAAACACGAATTTCGACCCAATATTCAAATTTAATGTGAGACATGATGCATAAATAAATAAATAAATTCGTGTGTTCTGGATCGCTTGAGACGTAAGTAAATCCTCTCGTCGAATTCAATTTCCGATACGTTGCCGATCGTCAGATTAATAAGTGTTTCAATTTCTTAATTATCGTTAATTATTATCTTAATTTCACGTCTACGTACGATAGACGAATAATTTTCTCTCCCTACATAAGACGTCACTGTTAACATTTGTCCCGTAATTTTCATTTTATTCCAATTCACAAGCGATGCTGAATAATTCAAGTTACACAATTCGGTACAATTTGGTGATTCGAGACGAAAATATCTTTCGAAAGATTTCGACTCGAAACTTATAAGTTTGTTATAATAAGCATGACACGCGAAATGATATAAATGTATTAAAATATTAATGAAGTAACCACACACGGGTGAAGTTGATTGACAATCAACAAGTAGCAGCGGTGATTAGCGAGCGTCCATAAGGCACGAGAGTAATTATCAGTCCGATTACATCGCATCGTGAATTTCCCGTGTTAAACGTTCGTAAGCCACGCACGAGCGAGACTTGTATGCTACAGTCCGATGAGAGCAGCACGTCGGAATCGCACGGAAATCAAATAAACGCGACGCAGAGGCAATCGCGAATTTTATTATCATACATTAACAACCCCAAGCGAATGCAAACGGTCACTTAACCATAACGAAAACGTACGTGTTATATCCGGCGTGACTTTGAAGAATATAACCGTTGAAAGCGAGAAAGGAGCCGCTGAAATTCCTACCGATATAACTGTGCAAATCGCAGAAATAACTCTCTAATATTAAACAACTTTCAAACCAATTGCCAGGAGTGGCGCGAGGGGAATACTGGCAAAATTATAGCGCCAGTTGTCGTCCGAATATAATTCCGATCCTCGAATTGTAGCAGCAGATCTCGTTAATTATCCAGAGACAGTGATATCAAAATTTCCAGCCAGGATCGTCACTTGTACATCACGGCTGTTGATAATTCGATGAGTCGGCAACGTTTCTCCAAAACAATAGAGTCATGATGCATAAATATTCAGATATAATGCGCCTAGTTGAGAATTCTCAAGGCTGCTATGCCCAGGGAATGGCATGGCATTAACGGAGGTTGCTATTTATTATTATAACGTACTTGAAGTGTACTGTATTTCTATGCACGTAAAATACGTGGATGATCATTCGAAAGAATAATGATTCATTTCAGAGCTGTGAATTTTCTAATTTTTATTATTATTATATAATAATATTTATATTATTATATAATAACGTCCATTTCTTATCACGGTTATACTTAGTGCCCGCCTAGGTTTGGCAAGTAAAATCGATGTGATTGCGCCTGATCATTAAATCACAACTTAATACACAGCGGAATAGCGAATATCCTTATGTTCTGTCGACAAGTCTGGAAAAGAAAAACACGCGGGTGAAAACACAATCTGCGCGCAATCAATGATAGATAATTGTATTCCCAATATTATTATTTTTTCCAATATTTCGATATACAGAGAGTCCAGTAATTCATGGAGCACCTTGTGTATGCAGGTGGGATGGGTTAAAATGAGCCGAATCCTCCTCCACCATTTTGCAAACAATTACGCGAAATTTCGGGTTTTTAATAATTGAAAGTGGTCATATAGAGAGACTTTTTTAAGTAACAAATAAAAAATTTGCGCGTTGTTTGCATAATGATACAGGACGTTGATGTTCAAAGTGGCTCGATCTACGAGTATATGACAATCGTTGTACTTAGCGTTCAAGGTTCGAGGTTCAAGGTTCGAGGTTCAATATACTGATGTCTGTCGTTAGGTACAACAACTGTCTTATATCCGTAGATTAGGCCACTCTGAACAGAAAAATTCTATACCATTTTACATATAATATTTATTAACCCCTTGACATACAATGACGTCGGGGAGACGTCATTCATTTCATGTGCCATTGTAGACTTTGACGTCTCCGAGACGTCAAGAACTGTCTCCGGCGGGCGCCGTGCAGTGTATTATTAGATTATTCAATTGTTTCACTTGTGCGTCGATTCTGTTTTGTTTAGAATGTTCAAGATGCTTCCCCCCTTCTCAACAGTACCAATAACAAAATCGCATCGGGAAACCAGTAAGTCAGAAAGAAGTACATTGAAAGCAGTATTCAGTATAGCAGTGATCTCGCACGGCGAATGCCATACTATATATTTGAATTTAGTAAAAATTAGAAATAATCCTTGTAACATGTCTGAGTTGAATGTATTGTATGAAAGTGACGATTGGAAGTGTAAAAAATGTCTAGTTCCTCTACATGTTTCAAAATGTTTTGAAATATTTCATACTTTAAAGAACTACTAAATTATTATTTTATAATGTTACTTAATTATTGTCTATTAACATTATATATCAACCTGATTAAATGTTATATAGCGATGCAAATTTCAAAATAAAAAGTTCTGTTTCTAAGCTTGGGCATAACTGTTCATTGAGCAAAATTAAATAGTATTTTTCGGACGCATCAAATTCCGTTTTATTTATATGTCAAGGGGTTAATTAAAGAAATTTGAGTTGAATTTTTGAGTTATTAATTAAGGAAAGAAAAGGAAGAAATGGCCTCTATGGTCATTTTCAGTAATTAATAACTCGAAATTTTACGTGATTGTTTGCAAAATGGCTCGGTTTAGCCCATTCTACACAATTGGTGCTCCATGAATTACCGGATATCCTGTACAACATTCAACGAAGAATTAAAATCGAGAGAAAGAAACAGGACCGGTGTGAGCGAAACGTGAATATTCCCGACTCTAATTTATCGCACGACCCAATTTTGCCCGCAGAATTGCGGCTGGCTGAATACTGGATCAAGCCGCGCAAGTTGTACTTCTGCTGGCGCAATTAAGAGATTCCTAGTTCAAATATAAATATTTGAGCGACAACATGCGGAAAATGCGTACACACATACGTGCGCGCGCGCGCGCGAGAAGCTAACGAACGATGGCATCGGCAACAAGGTGAGAACGCTCAGCACATGTCTCACAAGCCGTGCTCGTGTTCTCATGGTCGAGAAATTCATTGACTCACCAGCTTATACTCTCCGCAAGGCCCGATCGAAGTGTTTTCAGCGCTATGAGAAGATATGCGGCGCTATAACTCGAACAATTGTAATGATTGTCCCGCTTTAATCCACTTTAATTCAATAATTTGATTGCTTCGTTCCCTGTGTAAAGATCGTTAACTCGATTGATCCGTAATCATATACCGGGGAGACATGCCCGAGGAAAAGAATTGAG